ACCAGCCTTTTATGTTCTAGTTTTGGAACGATCTCTGTTGTGATATGGTACATAGTTGGATTCGAAGTTTGTTAGAGTAAGGACACACAAGTGACATACAAGAAGAAGTTATCAGAAATATTTATTGTTCACATTGGAATACGACATGGGTATTTCGTTGATTGGTTGATGGTATGACAAAAAAAGCTAGAGAAAACAAACTGGAATCCAACGGATGTTAACAGCTCGTAGTCTTAGATTTCGCAGATTTGCCCTGCCTTCTCGCACACAGAGTTTCTTCCAGGCATCTTTTGGGGGGGGGGGGGGCGAAGCCCCCCGAAAAATTTTTACCGCCCCCCCCCCCTCGAACGAAATGAAATTTATATAATTTATATATAGAAAATATATACGTTTAACAGTGTCCACCCCCCCCGAAGAAAGTCTACCGCCCCCCCCCCCCCCCATCGAAAATTTCAAGTGCCCCCCCCCCCCCCCCCCCGGAGAAAAAAGTCTGGAAGAAACACTGCTCGCACAACGTCAACAACAAATGCAGAACTAATTGTATTGATTGAAGAAGCAGTAACAATCAATTTAATGATAGCCCATGACGTTCTGATTATAATCAGCAGCAATAAAACGCGTTTTAACACTCTAAGAAAATGTAGAATTCAAATGCATTGTCAAAAAAATTCAATCAGGATCTATAACTAAATGTGGTCTCTTTTACTGTATGGCTTGGAGCTAGATTACAGACAGTGGAGAATGAAATAAGAGCATAGAAAAAAAGTGGTGGTTAGTGGCTTAGGGATTCAAGAATCCGTGATATTTAGTTCTCTTTAATATAGTTCAGTGATCCAGGTAAGATGTAATGCAATCAATCAAAAGTATCTGATCTCTCACGTTGAAGTTGAGAGAATCGTAAGAATCTTACAAAGAACTAGTCGCGTTTTTAAACAAAACTGGCTATTGAAATTGTACATTACGCGTTAATACACTTGGTTTCTTTACTAAGTGTTAAGAGAGTTATCTACTCACCAATCCAGTACAAATACTTGCGATTTTTGTTAGCGAAAAAAGCGCCCCCCCACACACACTCATCACAACCATCTTGGACAAAGTTTGTAGAGCGGTTTTTAACGTAACTAACTTTTTTAAAAATGTTACACAATTATACAATGCACAGTACAATTCGTTTCTTTCTGAGAGCTAAAGGTTGTTTACTCAGAATCCTGTGTAATTTTTCTATTTTATTTAGCCCAAAAGCGCCCCCCTGCACTATCTTGATAAAAGTCACTAACGTATTTTACAGTTCAACAATCGTACAATACGTTTTAATACAATTGGTTTCTTTTAATAGCGGTAACGTTTATCGACTCAACAATCTAGTGTAAATTCTTCCGTTTTAAGTCTCAAAAAAGCGCCCCCCCCCCCCATCTAGGAAAAGCTTCAAAGCGGTTTTGCCGGTCACTGTTTCTTAAGAGTATATGTTTTACATTAAGAAATCAAGGTAGAAAACAGTTAAATCAGTATGTAAAGGCGTGTAGCCATTACATTTCTTAACTTAGACAGTTTATAATTCAAAACTGCAGCATTAAATCAGCTTTAAAAAAATTTTCCCACCCCTTTTGGCGCCCCCATAGGGTCGGCGCCCGGGGCGGCCGCCCCCCCCCCCCGCCCCCCCCCTAGCTACGCCTCTGTGGCAGTAGTATACGGTTGGGCACCCTGAATCTCTCCATTATGATGATATAATGAAACATATTGTAGATATGCTCTTTGGGTCAGCGACTTGGCCATCTTAAGTATCGAACACACAGAAGCAGCTAAAATGGACTTCAAGTAATATATTAACTATTTTGCAACCTTAAAAGAAAGAAAAAAAAATCTAACCAAATCATGAGTAACTTTTAAAAATGTGTGTTTCGTTAGTGGCGTCACACGGTTCGGTATAACCCTGTGCGTTTAGTGAGTGTCACCCTACCCCCACCCCTCCAACAATTTTGCATTTCCGGTGGATGGTCCCCCCCCCCTATAAATTTTATTATTTTATCTAGATAAAACACAGTTTTGACAGTAAATTTTACAAGTATTCGTCACCGTGTCACGCCTAAATTGTGTCACTTCTACCCCAACCTAGTAAAGCTACTTGTTTGGTTACTAAAATGTTACAGGCTTACACATAAATTATTGTTTTGTTTTTACATAAAAGTGATATAAAATCAAAGGTATTTTACGTTACGGGGTACTACATAATGATACCGTATAAATACACAATTAGGACGTATAAAATTCACAATTTACAGATTGACGAAGGGGCCCAATAACAATGTTTGCTTAGGGGCCCGAAAATATTAGCTACGCCACTGTATTAAGGTTAGTGTCAAATGTGTAATAACAAACTCTTATAAAATGTTATATTTAGCTCACGTAAAAATACTATATTTCCAAAATTTACTCCTTCGAGCCTTACAGTTCATGGTGCTGGTGAAGTAGAGTTCACCTGTTTCAGTGACATCGGCATATAACGGGATAGCGTTGCACAGCCGCCATTGCTTTCCTTAATGTGAGTCTGGTACCCATCAGAGCTGAGTGGACTCAAGGACATCGTATGGACTCGAGCTCGGGATCCTAACTCGACACTTTTGGGTACCATTTGATCACCCGTCCCACTTTGAAACGACAGCATCAACATTTTTCCCACGTTTTCTTTAACTTGCTTTCTCTGTTTGTTTGTCTTTCCAATCAAATCTTGCGATCGAAATTTCTGGCACTTCCCAGATAGCTAGCGCGCTGAAATTTTCAGGGAAGCTTTCTTTTGGATGACCATTGAATATTCAATTGTTATTATTACTAAATTGATCAATGGAAACATTTTATTGAGCATTTTAGACCGCTATATAATCTATATATATAATTCTCCTCTGCTAGCCATTAGAAAAAAAACCAGCGACGCGTACCTCGCGCGCAGTGAAGCGAACGATCACATGTCGCCACAGGCTTAGGGGCAGGTAATTTAGCTTGAACCGAGTTTAAACTTACAGGAGGTAGGCCAGTTTGGGGGAGACGATATGGTCGAGTGGTTGGGCACACGATTGCTATCCCACTCGACACGGGTTCAAATCTATGTGTTCTAGTCAGTAACGTATTCAAACAACGTGTTTTTTACGAGTTGTCTTTTTACGAGTTGTCTTCGTTTACCCAAAAAAAAGTGAAAAGATAAAATCGATAGCAAGATTTTAATGCAAACAAACAGACAAAGACTAAAAAGTAGAAAATAATAATCATTAAAAAAGTTTTAAAAAACCCACGTTTTCTGATTGAACTAAAAAGTAGAAAATAAATACTATACATCACAATAATGCAAGCGATCACTCTACTATAAGCGATCAAAAACGTGGGGCGCCGTGATTTTCTTACAGTTTCTAATACTGTTGACTCTCTACAAGCTCCCTAATAAAAGTCAATAGTATTATCTAATCAATAGTAATATAACTTTTACTTCGGCGCCCCACGTTTTTCATCGCTTATAGTAGAGTGATCGCTTGCATTATTGTGATGTATAGTATTTATTTTCTACTTTTTAGTTCAATCAGAAAACGTGGGTTTTTTAAAACTTTTTTAATGATTATTATTTAGACTTCGACTGGACATTAACAGTTTAGATAAACAAATTAGCCTAATGCATGTTCATTAGGTTTAAGTAAATAGACTGTGTGCAAGAATAATATTGTATTTGCCTTCATAAGTCTACTTCATAAAACCACACTATCTAACTCTAGAAAAAGAAGTATTTGGCTATTGGCTGAAGTTGCCTCCGTGAGTTAGTAAGTTTTTAGCAACTTTTAAAACTTATTTTTGTGCAGTTTTTAATATAAAATTTTGACAGACAAGTAAACCCACAATTTTCAAAACCCATACATTTTGAAGCTACTGTCTTATAAACAGTGTTTCCTTCAAGCGGTGCATTGAAGATAAAAACTTATGAAACAAGTCTACTGCCCCCCCCCCCCCCCCCGGAGAAAAAGGTCTGGAAGAAACACTGGCTGTGTCTACACTGGCAACGATTCCAAATTCCAACTCAACCATTTAGCCTACATTCTTGTAATATATAGCCTATAATATGGTCTAATAATGAGGACCATCCATAAATGCCGCCACGCATTTTTTGCTGACCCCCCCCCCCCCCCCATGATTCCGAATTCATCCCCACCCGATTTTGTTTCAGTTCAGCGGGGGAAATAACCGAGTACGTTTTATGTTGTCGAAAATATTAACAGGGCTATTTCCCTTAAATTAGGAATTAAAGTAAGTTAGTAAATGTGGTTACCTTGATTAAACTGAAAACATTACTAATCTATTTAATACGGAACATTTTAGTAATTCTCGGTCAAAATTAGATCCAATGATCAGTTTCCAAAATAATTCACATGAAAAACTGCTAAAATTCAGTTACATTTTTTTTAAATTTAAGAATGTGACGTCATTTTACATTAATTTTTGGGGTACCACCCACTTCCCCTTATAGTCGCAGTGGTTTTGGGGCTACCACCTAGCAAGATTACTACCTAATTCACTGTATTATAGGCCTTGGGGCCCCTAAGCTTAAACTAAAAGCGTACACTTTTTCCCTTAAAAATTTAAGTCGGGAGGTGTGAACTAAGCCGGACTGTTGAAAGATAGGGAAAAAAACAAAAGCATCAGTAATATTTGACTATTTAAAATTAATAAAAATTTAAACCGACATATAAAGAGAATGCGTGTATTGAAAAATAAAGTAGTGAGAGACAAATTAATAAATTATTTCTTATCTTCATTTGCGAGGATAGTTTTTAATTTTGTATACTCTCCACTCAATTTAAAGTTCTTTCAGTTTGTGTAATATTGCATTTTCTCAACTGTGCTATTTGTAAGTCATATTAGTCACAAAAAGAATTTATGTATTAGAAAATGATATATATATAATAAATTAAAATACATTTTGTACTTTTGTAATCAGACTTTTAAGCTTTCAGGAAGTTGTGTGAGAGTATGCGCATGTGTAGTTCTGCATTGTCCTCTGTCGTCCCTGTTCCCTGCCATATTAGACAGGATAGTTTATTTTGAGCTTATGAAAAAATGCTAACAGCCAGGTTGGCGTCCTCCTTGGTGAGGCAACTTCCCAGAGCCCTGCCCAGAGTAAGTAATACTCAGTATTTTTGTTTTGTTATCAGTTTCAGCATGAATGTTTGTGGAATTATTAAATTAGCCATAGGATACCGGCTAGAAATTTTGTCTCCATAATCGCCGGAACTAACATGTTGAGTGACGTACTTGACCAAGGTTTTATTTTAAAGCTCAACTTTACTTCACTGTTTTGCTGAAACTACTAGACTTATAATGTTTATTCAGTTATTAGATATCTAGAATCTATAGGCCTATAGAATAGTTGAAACGTTTTTAAATCAGTTCAAAAATATTAAATTGTCCTGTCTTTCTTTAGTAATAAAACTAGAAATCTACTTGAGCAACATGCAAAGATTCCTATTTTCTTAACTTTCTAATAAGAAACATTGCTTTATGTGTAGATCTAGATCTACTTTAAATAGACCAAATATTGGGCTTATAAACTTCCAAAAATATTGACGTTTTAACTTGTAAAAAAATTATGATTGAGCTTATTAAACATGACCTTGATGCCCTCCAGTATTAGTTTTCCTAGCTATAGGCCTACTGAATATATTCAGCTATTGCACAAGTAATCAACTCAAATGGATTGTTTTAAGTCCTTTAAAAATACAATTCTGATTTGAATCCTTATCAAGCTTTTGACCAGCTCAGTCTGTTAATCATTTAAATCACTTGTATAGGCCTAGGCCTAATGATGTTGTGATAGGTATCCTATCTTCTTGAACTCTTTCTATGTTGACAAATTTAAATAGCAAGATACCTACATTCTTGGGTATCAAATGCCATTTTGAAAATTGATTGGCTGGGAAGATGTAAATGCACATAGGGAGGAACACTTACCTGAGCATTAGATAAACTGATCATGGTTTTCACATGAATCCATCTCAACCTTTGTAAACTGATCTTGGTTTTCACATGAATCCATCTCAACCTTTGCGGTATAGTCCAAGGGAATGCTAAGATATGCAATGAAAATAAAGGTTGGTAATCTTACTGCTCAAAGGTTTTTCTTCTAGATGGGTTGCTGTCCCCAGCTGATGAGCCTCATATGCATGGTTTATCAGATTCTCCGTTTAGACTATGGTCTCCATTAACCTGACTTATTGCAAAGTATGGTGATATAATAGGCACAGCCCATTATGTATGCCATTCCCTACTGTGGTCTTGATTGCAATACTATTATAATCAATTTCATTTTAAAAATACTTTATCCTTACTATTATGTAATCTTTTTAATAAAAAATAGGTTTGTCAAAATGCTTTGGCAGCTGGATGTGTATCAGGGAGACACCTTTCTCTCTCCACTCCTGTTTTTGCTGCAGGTATGTTTCCAAAGTAACTTGCATGAGTTAAAATTGGCATTTTAAATGTTAAAAATATTTCTTAATTGCTTACAACATTTAGTTAAAAAAAAAACTCTTCTCTTAAAGGGCCCAAAGGAGCTGAAGTCTCATCCATTTTGGAAGAAAGAATATTAGGTCAGACTTCTGAAGTAAATCTTGAAGAAACAGGACGAGTTTTATCTATTGGTGATGGTATTGCTCGTGTTTATGGCCTCAAGAACATTCAAGCTGAGGAGATGGTGGAGTTCTCCAGTGGTCTCAAGGTAAATTCTAGTTATACTTTCTCCTTTTTTTTTTTACATGATATAAAAAAAATTCAAAGGTATGGTTAATGTGTGGACATTTGGTTAAATATTGTCTGTAATGTCAATACTAATTTTTAAAAACAGGGTATGGCCTTGAACTTGGAGCCAGACAATGTTGGTGTTGTCGTGTTTGGTAATGACAAACTAATCAAGGAGGGGGATGTAGTCAAGAGGACCGGAGCTATTGTTGATGTACCAGTTGGTATGGAACTTTTGGGAAGAGTTGTTGATGCTTTAGGAAATCCTATTGATGCTAAGGTATGTCATATTTTGGTTCTCTTAAGAAGTTCATTAATAGTTAACTTTGCATAAATATGGCTTTTGTTCAATTGGATATAGGGACCCATAGGATCTAAAACAAGAGCTCGAGTTGGTGTGAAAGCACCAGGTATTATTCCCAGAACTTCCGTCAAAGAACCCATGCAGACTGGAATTAAGGCTGTTGACAGTCTTGTGCCCATTGGTAGAGGTCAAAGAGAGTTGATCATTGGTGACAGACAGACTGGGTAATTATCAGAAACTTTTTTTTTATAGACATTTTGAACTTTTATGTATACCTGTATGTTCCTAATCTTGAACTTCCTTTTATCTCCCAGAAAAACAGCTATTGCTATTGACACCATCATTAACCAGAAAAGATTCAATGATGCTGGTGAAGCCAAAGCAAAACTATATTGCATCTATGTTGCTATCGGACAGAAACGTTCCACTGTTGCACAGCTTGTTAAAAGGCTAACAGATGCTGGTTAGTTTTTTATATGTTAGCTATGTGCATCTGTTGAATTATTTAACACTCAGCTTATGTTTTAACATTATCTATTTGAATCTAAGCTTTTACTTTTTGTTTTAGATGCCATGAAGTATAGCATTGTAGTGTCAGCCACTGCTTCTGATGCTGCTCCATTGCAGTATTTGGCACCATACTCTGGTTGTGCCATGGGAGAGTTTTTCCGTGACAATGGCATGCATGCCCTTATTATTTATGATGACTTGTCTAAGCAGGTGAATATGTTACTTTAGATATTCTTATGTACCACAAGTAATTTTTTGCAATTAGTAATAATTGCTGTTCTGGAAGATTTTAAATGAGTTTTTTTCTGTCAACAGGCTGTAGCTTATCGCCAAATGTCTCTGCTGTTGCGTCGTCCTCCAGGTCGTGAAGCCTATCCTGGTGATGTATTTTACCTACATTCTCGTCTGCTGGAGAGAGCTGCAAAAATGAATGAAACCCATGGTGGTGGTTCTCTCACTGCTCTGCCTGTAATTGAAACACAGGCTGGTGATGTCTCTGCTTACATCCCAACCAATGTCATCTCTATCACTGATGGACAGATTTTCTTGGAAACTGAATTGTTTTTCAAAGGCATCAGGCCTGCCATTAATGTTGGTCTGTCTGTAAGTCGTGTAGGATCTGCTGCCCAAACACGGTCAATGAAGCAGGTATGTATATTTTGTTTTGAAATAACTTATAGCACATTACTAACTCACGATGTTTGTAAAAAGTTACCATATATTCTTGCAATTACCAGGTTGCTGGCTCCATGAAACTTGAGTTGGCCCAGTACAGAGAAGTAGCTGCTTTCGCACAGTTTGGCTCTGACTTGGACCAAGCTACACAGAACTTGTTGAGGAGAGGTGTCAGACTTACTGAAATCTTAAAACAAGGACAATACGGTATGTGTGATATTTTGCATGTGAATTATCTTGTTTTATTTTAATTTACATTTTTCTGTTTCTCTTAAAACTGTAGCTCAAAGGTTTATTATTTTTTCCTTGCAGTACCCATGGCTATTGAGGAACAGGTTTGTGTGATCTACTCTGGTGTGAGAGGGTTCTTGGACAAACTTGATCCATCTAGAATTACACAGTTTGAGGCAGAATTCTTGAAACACCTGCGGGGATCTCAACAAGAGTTGCTTAAAACAATTGCAAAGGAGGGAAAGATCAATGAGCAAGCAGAAGAAAAACTAAAGCAAGTTGTTACCACCTTCTTAGCAGGATTCCAGGGCTCATAAATTTTCTTTTCACTAATTAGGAAACAATTGTAATCTGTTGGAAAATGAAGTAGATTGTGATAAGAGGTGTGAGTTGATCTAATTTTTATTCATTAGAGTATCTAGGACAAATATAATGCCTTCAAAAGTTTCTGAATGAAAGGTGTTAAATCTACATTGACTATCCATAAAAACGGTTAAGAACACTTTTAAAATGTTCTTATCCACTTTTGTCAACTGGGTTGTCAGTCATTTTTTTATGACCAAGAGTATGCTTGTTTATTTGAGACAAATGTTAATAAATTTGTGTAATTTAAATTTCTGTGTTGTTTTACTTATATTTTCTGTGGTTGTTTCTTAATTTAAATATGAAGATTATTACATGTTCAACTCAAATGGAACCAAATGGCATTGCTAACAACTTTTGGAACCGGCACCTTTTAAATGGATGATGCCTACAATTGTAGTGAAGGGGGTAAATGTATGTAGTAACGTGGCGTTCACTCTTAGTACTGTGACTCACAGGTTAGCTTTAAGTTCAATATAGTAGCCACTGTATTCTGTTGCTTATTTAAACTTTTTATCTGTGTACATAGCTATTAAACTTTTAGTATTACTGTTGTAGTGATCCTTGAATAAATTTAGATGTGTTTTGTAGTAGCACATTCCTTCTAAATTGTGTCCTAGTGTTTGGCAACATATTCGGTAAGTTAAAGCATGTTGGAGTGTTCACAACAATTATAATAAAGTTGGGAATTAAATGTATCACAATTGCATGAACATTCTTTTTGTGTTCATTCCAACAGAAATTAAAACACTTAAAATTGATTTCATTGTGCTATATGTATTGGAAATAATACAAATGGAGTACAGTTATTATGCATACAAAGCACAAGGTCATTTTTTGAACCAGATGGGGTTCACCTATTCCTGTGCCATCAGCTGGGTGGACTCTACTACTGACTTCAATCCGGATTCAAACTAAGATTTTTGGGTCAGCTGTCTAGCGCTCTACTGCTAGGCCACACTGTCCCATATTTTAAGTAGTAAGAGTCATTTTCACGACTGTTTCCATCATCAGGATTTTATTATAGGCCTAATGTGATTCATTTACTTAAAATTTACGAGCTGACCCGCTGTTTAGTTTTTTCTTCCTAATTTTTAGTACTTCACAGTTAGTGAATTCAACACTACCCTCCTTTCCAATTCCCCCCCCCCCCCCCCCCCCCTTGCCACCATGAAAGCAGCAGTCTGTGATGACAGTTTACGGACAACAATGAAATGATCAAGCAGAACTTCTTACCTCGCATTAGTTTCAAATAATTTAAAAGCTAAATTATCTGCCCCTAATAGCCGTTACTAATTCGACCCGGCTCTACAATTGTAATTGTTAACATTTTGGGGTGAACCAGAATGGTGGAGGGTGGTAGCTATATGCCTAGAGGGGGCATGCGTTTACGTGGTGGTGTCTCCCATGGTCCCTATGAAGAGAATCTATATATATAATTCTCTTCTGGGAGACAAGCTGTCAAACGCGCTCCCTACCACCCCCACCCCTACATAGTCTGGTGAGCTGTGGTTCACTCTAAATGTTTACAAACAGAGCCGGGTTTAGTGACGACTATTAGGGGCAGATAATTTAGTTTGAAACGATTTTAAATGTGGGGGGGGGGGGGGGGTAACTAAGTGGAGTTTACTTTAACGGAGGAGGTGGGGGGTTATCGTCCTTAACGAGCTACTTATAGTGTTTTAAAGAAATATTTTCAGTGGCAGCGTTGGTAGTGTCGAATTCACAGATTATGAATAACTGAAAAGTAGAAAAAACAACAACTAAATAGCGGCGTATGATATGCCGCGGGTCGGCTCGTTATATATAGACGAGCTGACCCGCGACATAGTGTACGCCACCATTGTTTTATTTTCTGCTTATCAGCAATTCATAATATGTGAATTCAACACTACACCCTCCCGCCCTCCCTGTCCCCCCCCCCCCCCCCCCCACCCTCTAGCCCAGTGAAAGCAGCTGTTTACAAAGAAACGATCAATCAGAAATTGTTACATCCCCTTCATTTCAAATCGTTTAATACTAAATTATTTGCCCCTAATAGCCGTCACTAACCCGGCTCTACGCTTGTAAGCATTCGGGGTGCACCACACCTCACCTGACAGGTGGGGGATGAGGGTGGTGGCTAAGCTGCGTGGTGTTTTCTGTGGTCTCCATGAAGAGTATTATAGATGGATAATATTATTAATATAAGCCATGTCCTTTCAGCATTCTCTATTAACTTTTCTAGGTTACATTACTCGTGTAATTCCACTATACTGATTTTTTCTTTCTAAGACTAAAACTAAAAAGAATTAGATAAGAATGTCTCCACTCTCCACACATCCCCCAAACCTCACTTTTATTTCAATTCAAAGCATGAAGATTTAATATTTTTTTTTTACAAAATAGGCCTATAGTTTCAATAATTATTTATGATGAACTTGTCAAGATAAATCAAATCGTGTTTTTTTTTCCTGTCGGTTCGCTGGATTGATTAAGCATTGGGTAGCAAATTATTGTGCCTGTACAAATACGGAAGTGTCGGGAAATATTTTTTTTGTTTACTTTTTAAGTTAGGTTTTGATTCGTACCTTTTCAAATAGTTTTTATTTTTAGAAATAAAAATATAGAGCTAACAGTTATTGGGTGTTTTTCGAACACTTTAAAAGAAGAATAACTAAAAAATAATAATAATAATTACCCTGTTAAGCGCAAAATACTTTATTAATACTTTCTTAAAAGAATATACAATGGAAAAAATAAAAACCTTTAACAATCATTTTCGAAACTTTCACTTTTGTTATATTGGGCAACATGAAGGATACACAGGTTTTGTTTCGATTCTGACATTGACGAAAAAGTGTTGTTAGGCAAACTTTTGGCGCTGCTAAAATACAACGCACTTAGATTCTAGTTGATGGCATCATGTTTGCTCTTAAACGATCACTATCCAGGCCTTTAACTACTATTTCTGTTAAAGGCAGTGGTTCACAGGTCGAACAGTTAAAAGCATTCGAAGTATTCAAAGATGATGCAGCGTTGTCAGCTTCATTTTTAACATCAGTTGTGCAGCAGTGTGAGGATGTTCTATTACATCGATCTTGTACTCCTCTGCAAAGTTCCATCTTGCAAACACCAGCGCTAAATGTTAATTCTAAACGATTAATACATAAACACACGAGCGATGGATATAAAAGATATGAACAGAAAACACAATGCCATTGGCTGAATTGGAAACGTTTTGGATCATATTGTGCAGCATCATGCTTGGCTGGATTAGGGACTTATTATTTACAGAAGCAAGAATTGGCCAAAATATTGGACTTAGCAGTGTATGCAGATAGCAATAATAAAAACAATTTTATAGCAGATGTTGTACAAAAAGCAGGACCAGCTGTGGTATTTCTGGAAATTAAAGGAAGGTAAGTATTTGGTTTTGAAGGCAGCATGAATACTCCATAAGATGAATTAAAAACAAGGCCTTTGTATTAAATAATATTTGTTCTGCCCTAAACAATAATAAATATTTAGATTCTATATGAAATATGAATATGATTGTTGTTAGTGTGTATTGTTCAAGCGCAGCCTAAGTGCTCAATATATGCACAACTATGTATTTGTAGTAGTATGTAGCCCACCCTATTTTCTTTCAACTTGTTCAAATAGTTTCTAATAACATAAATTAATTTACAAATCTTCTAATATTAGTACTATGTAGGAGGAATGTGACAGAGCAGAGGGCTCAATTGCTGACTTGAAAATCCTGGTTTTGGAACCTAAATTAGATATATTTGTGTTTTTTTTTAATTTCTAATGCAAATGGTATTGCACAATGAACAATCTATGTGAAGTTATTGGGTGTAGGACAAAAGGCAGAGTGGACATAAGGCTAACAGACTATAAGGCCAAAAGGATGACAGACCATAAAGCCATCAAACATAAACATTCTAATATTGCAAAATTTGTTTGCTACATAGCTCCTATCTAGATAACCATCAAAGAACAAAATCATTGGCTGCCGGCAGCATTGCCCACATGAAAGATGGAAAGTTCAAGAGAAGAGACGATGCTAGTTGCTATCCTTATAAGGTGAACCATTGGGTTCAAGCTACTGGAGATTGTGGGAGTGTCTTAAACACAAAGAATCAGAACCTAAATATTGCAAAATACGGTTACTGCTGTCTTTCATAGCTCCTTCTATGTCAACGAGATGAGACAACCACCAAAGAACAAAGTCAAAAGCCATCTGCATCATCGGCCACATACAATTAGGCGGAACGCCAAGAGACATAGTAGTTGCTATCCTTACAACGTGAACAATGGGGTGTCCAGAGGTTATAACAGGTGGCGTTTATGAAAGAAACCAAATGAAGTAGATCGATTACTTGCATTGACTGGACGACATGTTAAATATAGACAACATTTGAATTAGATTCCAGTTTTTTCCATCGCGGATTGCATAAAAACAATTTATACTAAATTTGTTGGATTGATTGATTCAGCTGTGATTGTGATACAAGTGTGCAAGGTCTTTGAAACATATGTGTCTATTTCATCTGCCCATTGTGTCCTAGGCACAAATGGGAAAAAATGATGATTATATTAAAATAATTAATTGGCTATATTAATAATTTAAAAAACAGTTTAAAGCAATACTTCTAATTGTCCTGATTACTTTGCTGTATTTAAAATTTTAAAAGTTTTTTTTTATTAGTAATTACTAAAAAAAAACAGAAAATATTCAAGCTAATTTTTTTGTTTGTATCTTTACCTGATTCCTATAACTGACCTTAGTAGGCTACTGACATTAATAATAAATGTATCCACATTGTCGAGTATCAATAGTATCATGCCTGCATTATTTTATCAGAAGCAATTGTATGTTTTCAGACATCCCCTTACTGGTCGTCCTGTCACATTATCCAATGGATCTGGTTTTATAGTGAGAAGCAATGGAATAATTCTAACAAATGCTCATGTTGTTGCAACAAAGTCAACTGTCAGTGTGAAACTTCAAGATGGAAGAGTAATGGAAGGCCAAGTCACAGCAGTAGATCCTATATCAGATTTAGCAACTGTCAAAATACCTGCTGTAATAAGTACATTTTTAAAATTTTTTACAAACATATACCACTGAGTTCACTTTCATTGAAAAGATAGAAGTGTGTAGGCCTACAATGTTATTAACATTTGTTTGTATAAAGTGTAATTAATAAATTAATGTTAAATATTAATTTATAATCAATTATAGTGAAAGACAAACAAGCTAAATAAGAATATAGTTCATGAGATTAAATATAATTGTTAAAACCACATTAATAAAAAAATAGCGACCAAATAAAAACAGGCTGAAATTGGAGTTCATCAGCCTCTATTGCGCATTACAAGTTGACACATAATATATATATAATACTTAATAAATTTTGAAGGAAATCCCTTCCAACATTCCAGTTACCACTGAAGAAGAAAATTGGTGACCCAACACACATTATTCAAATATTTTGGTCGAAATTTTTTAATTAGCTTAACAATCTTTTATAAAATTATTCATTTTCTATTATTTTATATGTTTAGACAAATCTACCCATCATTCCTCTGGGATCATCTTCAAATATTCGACCTGGTGAATGGGTGATTGCCATGGGAAGCCCTCTGTCTCTGAGCAATACAGTGACTTGTGGAATTGTTAGTAGTGTACAACGAGCAAGCAGGGAGCTGGGACTTAGAAACAAGGATATGGATTATATTCAAACAGATGCTGTTATCAATGTAAGAAAATTCTTATGTTTAAGCTTATAAATCATAAAGTGAACCATTAATGTGCATTTTTCCGGGAATGTTAAACTTAAGTTTTTTGGATGTTTTAGATTTTGAATTACATTTAAGCCTGCTGTTCTTATAAGCATAAAAACTTAATTTTTTGTGTTTACTTTTTTTTCTCCTTTCAGTTTGGTAACTCTGGAGGCCCACTTGTTAATTTGGTATGAAGTAAAATTGTATTTTACTTAACATTGATCATTTAAAATTTTTTTGTTGTTGTTAGGATAAATGAATTAGTAATTTTTAAAATTTAATGATCACAAAATTTTCTAGGATGGTCAAGCTATTGGAATTAATACCATGAAAGTAACCACTGGTATTTCATTTGCCATTCCCTCTGACTATGCAATAAAGTTCTTGGTTAAAGCAGAAGAGTTAATGAAGCATGGTAAATAACTGGATAATTATGAATAATTATTTTCAAACCTCATAATAATAATGCCTAATAATGCCCGTAAAAAATCTGTTATGAGCCATATATTAATTACTCTACTGTTTGTGATCCTCTCCATTCCACTTTCTAAATATCTAATAAAAAGTAATTAGATATCATTAAATATATCAATTAGCAGTGTTGTTTTCCTACATGTCATTAAAAATTATCAATTTAAACTCAATTTGTGTAAGTTTTTCTGCATAGCATGCTTTTTTTTTCAGGCCGAAGTGAAAATGGCTTTTTGAAAAGGCGCTACATGGGAATTACAATGCTTACACTCACAGAGAATGTAATGAGAGATTTGAAGAATAACATAAAGATGCCAAATTTCCCTGATGTAGATGGTGGAGTGTTTGTCTACAAAGTAATACCAGGGTCTCCTGCTCATATGTAAGTTTGTTTTTTAAATGTCCATTAAGTTTCAAATTATCTTTGTTAGTCTTAAGAATTATTTATTCATACTCTCCGTTTCTAGCTGATTTATTAAATGTAATTTAAAGAATTTTTTTTAGATAAACCAGGGCATTTAAATAAAAAAAATTGATGATTTATTGCTTAGTATTTTGACACACATTTTAGAGTTTGTCTTGTCTTTGTTTCTGCATTTTTTTTTACTAATGGGAAATATAAACTTAAATTTTTTTTTATTGTATTTCAGAGGTGGAATAGTAGCTGGGGACATTATTATTGATATAAGTGGCACAGCTATTAAGTCTGCAGCTGATGTATATGACGCTGTTGAGAAATCTGATTTTCTTAAAGTGACATTGATCCGAGGTAGTGAAAAGAAAGTAATTCCTATTGATACAAAACAGACAATTTAAAACATTTAGGGGCTGAATAAATTTTTGGATATTTGTGTTATACTGATTACGTTTAGGTATCTTGGTTTTCTTTTTCACCTATACATTGAGAAATCAATAGAAATGATAAATATTTGTGCAAAGCTGTAATCCAATTATGATGTGATTCTGCATAATAAATATATTCAAAGCCTATCAGCATCTTACTTCTCATTTTTTTGTAATGAATACAATTGTGTTATTACTATAAGTTGGTTTACTCAAAAGAAAAAAACACGCTTCTACAATAAGTATTAGTTGTTTGGATGTAATATAATTTCAGACAAGTTATAAAAGTAATTTTGCAAACATTTACTTCCATTTGCATAGATTGATTGCTAAGTTCTATGGAGGGCAGTATTATTTCAAAACAGCTTTTGTTGTGTACAATTGCAGTACTGCATGTGGTACAAGAAACACTTTTCTTACTAGCTCGTGAAACCTATTTAGAATTAATGAACTTGCATCATAACTTTTAGATGCACATTATTGGATTTGCTTTTTAAAAAATCAAATGTAAAGGACATATTTTGTTAATTCAAGAGATTATTTTCAATGATCAAGAAAAATAACGTAAATGTACTAAATAAAGCAGAATAGTAGCTCATTTTTAAAACAGTGAAATTTATTATATATTTTATTAATTAAAGTAGCATTTTTTTTTATTCATGATGGCCATAGCCTTTTTTTCATGATGTACAACACTGTAGCAAAGAAAAACACAAGAGCTAACAATATAAGCAAACGATCTGTGAATTCTCGTCTACCATACTTGGTTAACAGACGTTGAGAATGCTGTATGTGCCCTCCCATTGTGTGAAATTCATCATGTGTATCACTGATAACCTGAGATGAGCCGGCTAGGGAAAAAAATGTTTTTATTATTATTATTGTATTAGCATTATTATTTAGGTTACTTAATAAATACTTAAATAATTGACTTATCAGGGATATAATTATTCAATAATAAGATATTGTAAATAGAATGAATAGAAGATTCAGCAATCAAATTACCTAAAGTTGAATTGTTGAGTTCACTCTGTTTCACTTGCTCTGCCATAGTCTGATTCAAACTCATCAAACTTTCAGTTATATTATTGGCTGTCTTTAGTAAAGTTTCTTTGTTTCCTTGGGTTCTTTATTAACAATATTACATTAGAAAATCAATGGCAATAACTTTAGAAATTGTAAGTTGTTTCATAATATGCTTAACACAATAATATACATACATTAAAGACAAACATTCATTGTCTAATATTTTATAACTTTAAAAAATTAAAATAATTTAATTCCCAAGTACCAATGTCTCAACTAACATGTTAACCTTTTTTTAAGCTGTGTGGCCCCAGCGAGCAATTGATTCCTTGCATAGTTATCCAACACCACTTTTGAACTTACAGTGGTTTGACGTAGACTAGAAACTGTTCTGAGTAAAAAAAATTACCCATTGTAGAAAACAAAATAATTAAAATAATATGCAATTTCTGTTAAAATTTTAGTTTCCAAAATAATTTTAGCCTAATTTACAAATACATGTGTAAAAAAAAAAATCGAAGCATGGAAGATTTCATTGTTAAAATGTGATTATTTCATGTTCATCTTTGTCAATGCACTTTATTTCTAGCATGATCAAGATTGTTATCATCAGCTGAGTTTGTCTTGTGTTGGTAAATATATATCAACTCTAAATTATGAGTATAATCCCTGATAATTGACAAAAAACATTAAAAAATGTATGTTTTAATCTAGTAACAATAAATACATTACTAGTCCAGGAAAACATTGAGATTTAGAATGTAATTGAAGTACTATACCTTGAAAGTTTTTGGCGAAGACTTTCTACATTTACAAGTATGGCATCTCTGTCTACATCCCGTTCTTTTTCTAAACCAATTCTTTCCAATTCCTAAAATATTTTGTTATTTTCAAAATAAATTGTTATGCAAAAGTAGGCATACACTACTTATTTCCAATGTTAGGGTCATTATGATTATACAGAGAATCATCCACAACAGGGGTCTCCAAACTTTTCAGTCCGAGGGCCGCATTAACTATTAAATTTCAGTTCGGGGGCCAGTTTCTTCCAGGTATGTCTGGGAAAAGTTCCTCAGCCATCACTAACAAACATTTTTTCCTTGGACAAAAAGATCGCCGCAGGCCAGATGAGAGGACATCGCGGGCCGTAGTTTGGAGACCCCTGATCCACAACAACCCTCACCTAGTCAAAAATAGTTCTGTTTTGCACAAAATAGACTGCTACATATCCACAACTATACTATTCAGTATAATTAGCCTTCCCCATTCCCTCTTTTTTCCATCAAAATGCAAAAAAAAAAAAAAAAATCCACTTAGGCTTATATGTCTATACATTATACAGAAGTTGCATGTATTTTATTATTAGTATACATGTTTAATGATGTTTGATTTCACAAGTGCTAACCTGAATGTCAAGAGTTCAGTTCATGTTTACAGAAAGTCCCTTTAGTTGTGGATAGTAAAGGTGGCTGACTAAATAATCTCTTACATTCAGGGGTCAAAGAAACAAACTCTACTTCATCTTCCATAAAGGGTTGACAAAAGGAACTTTAACTTTTTTGCTTTAATTTTATTTCAAATTGGTTACTTTGATGTTAATATTGAGATTAAAAAACTGACTAATGCAGCAATTAGATGTATTTTCCATAATGATATATATATTATTATCTAAGCATAATCTTAAATAAAAACGAAACATAATTTCTGTAGTAAGTAAAAGAAAAAACCCCAAAGAATGAATGCTATACTTACAGCAATTTTATCTCTAAGATCTGAAATTTTTTTTCTACCTTGTGCATTTAAATCATCCAATGTTTCTGAAGATTCTGCATTTTGACGAATGTCCTGAAACAGATTTTTAAAAATTGTTTTTAAAATACTTGTATTATCATTTAATTTTTACATTAGAAACTATTAAACTTATAAGCTATTATTTTAGAATTTAGGTAGTCTAATAAATTAACCAAAATTATATCTAATTGTGTGCAGACTAACTGAAATTTTGCAAAATGTTATAATATAAAAAAAATCATAATCATTAATTAAAGCAGAACACTGTTTTAAATTAAATGTGTGCTCTCAATATCATTCAAGTTTCTTTATATAACATAATTTTTTAATATTAAAAACTATGAATATGTGGTGTGGGTGGGACTGCATGGTCGAGTAGTAGAGCATTTGACTGTTAACACAAAGGTCTCGAGTTAGGATCTCGTTTCGGACTTGTGACTGTAGGATGTCCCTGAGTCCACCCAGCTCACATTTGGATAAGGCAGCTGGCTATTGCGCTGACCCCACTATCTCTATATGCCGACAAAAAGGAAAAAGGATAACTCTACTTCACTTGACCAATGGACTGTAAAGTTTGAAAAGGGAACTACTTTTTACTGTATTTTACATACTAGAACTGCCCTGTTAATTTATAAATTATAGCCTTATTATTTTTATAATAACATGCACTCTACTGGATCTAATCTCTACAACACCATGCTCTAAGAAACAATAATAAAAAACTGTTCAACACCTGAATTATTGCTTTTGCTTCTAAATCCAGCTTCACGATTTCTTGTAGGCAGACTCTTACATGGGAATCATCTTCAGCCATATTTATTTGAATATATTAAGCCTAAAATTAATTTAATTATGATATAAATTTAGTTAAAAATCATCACATTAATAAAGAGTCTATATTAACTATATATATATAGATCTAAAGTCTATCTAGATCTAAATAAATAGTAGGCCTACACATTCAATATTCCAAATTTTGGATTTTTCTCACGTTTTGACAAAATTAATTTAAAAAACTAAACCAAAAATTCATTAAGAAATAGGCTGAGTGATTTCCTCTATGTTTTTTTGTGTCTTGGTTGTGTTTATAATAAAATACGCTCAACTGGAGGTGAATGTGAAGCGGTGCATAAAATATGCTAAAATGGAGTTTTACCATACTACTATATTAAATATTGTGATATATTTGTGTCAAATATTATAGATAAATGAATAATAAACCTAAATCAATGGCTAAATATATCAATATAGGCCAGAAATTAACTTTAAACAGCAGTTTTTGCTAGCAAGATTTGCTATATAAACAGCAGACATTTGTAAAATAGAGTGGCTTCCCCTAAATCTCGCGCTATAAGTTTACAAAAAAAAAAACTTAAGATGGCTGCTACAGTAAATGAGCATGGTTGCATCTGTTGGAAACATCGCTTTGCTGAAAAGTTTTAATTCAATTATTTAAATGAAACAAGGAAACATTTTTGTATTTTTCAAAGCATAAATCCTCCTCAAAATGTGAAATAATTATTAAAATTTAAGGAGCTACCTGTTTTTCACATTACTAGTTGCGGGTGATTTTACGTACGATAGATTTAAGATTACCGTTTGAGCCTATTGGCCTATTGTTATTTCAATTACAACATTAAGGATTAAGATTGAAGCTAAACAGGGAATAACTACTAGATTAGAATAATAGGTAATCTATCGTTTTAGGTACGTAAAATCGCCCGCGACTAGTAATGTGAAAAACAGGTGACTCCTTACATTTTAATAATTATTTCACATTTTGAGGAAGATTTATGTTTTGAAAAATACAAAAATGTTTCCTTGTTTCATTTATGTACCTGTTTCTAAACAATTGAATTAAAACTTTTTAGTAATAAATGAACACCAGCGATGTTTCCAACACATGCAACCATGCTCATTTACTATAGCAGCCATCTTGTTAAAGTTTTATTTTTATAGACTTATAGCGCAAGATTCAGGCGGAAGTCACTCTATTTTACAAATGGCTGCTGTTTATATAGCAAATCTTGCTTGCAGACACTGCTGTTTAAAGTTAATTTCGGGCCTATATTGATATATTTAGCCATTGATTTAGGTTTATTATTCATTTATCTATAATATTTGACACAAACATATCACAATATACTTCTATTACAGCCTTGACAATGAGATAACGTTTTCGTACATTAATAGCCGCGGGCGATTTTACGTACCCAAAACGATAGATTACCGAATAATATAACTAGTAACTAGATTAACTAGATCTAGTACTAGTCTAAGTATAGAATTTATAATATTTAGGCCTATATATAATTTATAATTATAATAATATTAGGTTATTAGCCATATTAGGGCCTAATAAAAATAATAAACATAATAGTATTAAATACTATTAAATAGTAGTATTACATTAATAGCCTAAATAAAAATCAAAATAGTAAAAAAAATAGCCTCGGCCGATTTTACGCACACGATAGATTACCTAATAAATTAAAATTCTTATAGTTATAGATCTAGAATAAATCTAGACTTTACAGGATCTAGAATCTAGATTTAGATCTAGAGATAGATGATCTATAAAATAAAATATTAATATTATAAATAAATAAATAAATAATATTATTTATTAATTCCACATCAGCAGTAACCATGTCACCATTACTCAGTACAGTAGGTAGCAGTAGCCTAATCAATCACAATGTTTCAAATAGTTTTATATATTAAGTTAGTAAGTAGATCTAGATCTATATATCTAGAGTAAAATTCCATTAAATGCAAGGTAAACATTTAATCTCATTATTATTTAGATTCTAGGACAGATCTAGATCTAGATCTAGAAAAGAATATAAACATTCCGTAACAGCTTGACAGATAATCATACAAAATTCTACTGGATTTTAGGGCCACAGCTTGTGTTTCCGTTCGCGGCCACTGCGCAATTTCGGTTAAGGTATGTTCTTTAAATAGAATAGACTTTAATCGGCGAAGATGTATATTATTTATTTTTAAAATAAACCACTACAGTACAGTTATATCTACAGGCTCACGAATTAGCCACCTGATCTAAAAAAAAGGTTGGCCTATGGATCTAGATCTAGCCTAGATGTAAACTCTTGCAGATCTAAGATTCTAACTAGATCTAGACCTAGATGAAGTAGACTAGAAGGGGTGAGAGCGATTTACAAATGCTGCGAACTGAAACCCCGCTCTAAAGATGGTTCGGCTTAGACTAGAGTTTAGAGTACACGTAGGATCTGTTCAACTCAATTTCTAGATCTAGATCTAGTATCATCTAGATCTAGATATCTAGACTAGACTAGATCTAAATTTACTCTAGATCAAGTACTTACACAGACAGTACGACTTATCACTTTAATTAAATAGTATAACTACTGACACTGTAACTTTGTTTGTAACTTTAGTTTACTTTTACTCACTTTGGTAATCTATCGTTTTGGGTACGTAAAATCGCCCGCGGCTATTTATGTACGAAAACGTTACCTCATTGTCAAGGCTTTAATTGAAGTATATTGTCATATGTTTGTGTCAAATATTTTAGATAAATGAATAATAAACCTAAATCAATCACTAAATATATCGATATAGGCCAGAAATTAACTTTAAACAACAGTGTCTGAGAGCAAGATTTGCTATATTTAATATTATATACTATATACTATATAAACAGCAGCCATTTGTAAAATAGAGTGGCTTCCCCCTGAATCTGGCGCTAAAAGCTTATAAAAATAAAACTTAGACAAGATGGCTGCTATAGTTAGGGACTACGATATCCGTCAAATCTCGGGCCGGAAACTGCGCTACCGCCGCCGTATCAAACTTGATTCTGGTTTCCGTCAGGCAAAACATAGCTCACTGTATAAAGCCAGATTCTCATTTAAAAATCATTCACTTCACTCAAATCGTCATGAATATCGACCTAGGAATAATCCACCTTTCTATTGATTAAAACTTTTTCTCTTCACCATCGACGTATCTTCGAGTAATTCACACTTCTCGGACAGGTATGTATAAATATTTAATTTATTTAATATCTAAACAAGATAGTCATTTTTTTTTTAAAGATACACCTAGATTTTTGTTTTAAGTTTCTTATAAAGTCTTTATTTTGTAAATTTAACCCTCGCATGAATTAGATAATGCCTCGCGAAGTGAACATGGTCTTAAAATTTAAGCCGACGATCGGCAAATGGCGACAGTTACCTATTATCGATAATGGCCGATTTGGTTAAAACAATGATACCTATTATGTATCTATTGAAATCTCAACTAATTCAAGGCATCTGCAACTGATATTTATATTTTAACAGTGTTCAATCATTATATTTTATTAAAAAGACAATATTTTATTTTTTTTTCAAAATATTTAGTGTTGGACCAAAACTGAATTAGCATTTCGTTTTCTTGGAACAATATAGAAACTTGAGTGTACAAGTTAACATATTACTTTCTAGTATCATATAATAAAAAAAAGAATGCATTCAAAGCTTTTATTTCTTGTTATTTCAGTAATTCAAATGGAGTGGCCTTCCAAATCTCTTCAGGACTTGGAGCTTCTTGTTAGTTCACAGAAGGACAGAATTCTGATGGCTTTGCGCTCTACATTTTTGCCAGTAACAAGAAAAATGCACATAAGACAGCAGCATAGGTTTTGCAATTAGGAGAACAACTAAATTATAATGCTACAACTTGTTGTAAGTCATCTTCATGCCAGAATAACTTCATGATAGGATGCTAGAGACAGGAAATTTTATCTACTTTTTTGTAGAATGGAGGGGGCGAGGATTAAACATAAGTGGAATGTTAAAGGGGGGAGATCTGTTTTAGAAGTATAACTTTTTTAAGTTAAAGAAAAAAGTCAGCAGTAAAGTGTAGATTCACTTGGAGTAGCCTATTGGATTGCAAATAAAAGAGGAGTAGGATGACAATGTTAGCGCCTCTATTGACATTACTTATTAGTTATTAACTGATGTTGTTCAAGGCGATTTATTTTGTTAGTGTTGTGGTCATAAATTACTATGTAAATTACTATGTAATTTATATTAAAATATGTTTTTATTAATACCATTAATGGAGTAATTCTTTTTTAACTAATTTTGCTGTCTATTTTTGTCTAGATTTATGTTTGGCGATATCCGAACCTTTACCGGTTGGAGAGAAATGAGTCTAAAATTACAATACAAAGCTCCAGGTTATGAGGTCCCTTAAAGGTCCCTTAAGTGACTCTTAACACATTCAGATTGTGGCATAATATTGATATTGATAACCTGTTAGATTTAGAATAATGATAAACTTGAAAAAAGTCACTTTACAAAATTAGGGGGGTTGCATCACCTCAAGGCACACATTTTGTCATCCCTTTCATATTTTTACAAATATGTTAAGTTTAATTGCCTCATAACATATTAATCTTGAAACTCTGAAAATTTGAATACAAATTTCCATGTAATAGAGATTTGGCATTGGTTTATATGAAGAACACACAAAATTTGCCCGCGAAATTTACCACCAAATCCTATAGTAACTTTTAATTCAGTAAAAAAATCATAACTTTAAAACGGAATGTCCAATTTTGAAAAAGTAAACTGTTTTGTCTTAATCTGATGTAGCTCTTTAAGATGATATGCTTTTTAACCTAGGTAAATCATTTTGAAAATTTTCTCAAAGTCCCTACTATAGTAAATGAGCATGGTTGCATGTGTTGGAAACATCGCTAGTCTTCATTTATTACGGAAAAGTTTTAATTCAATTGTTTAAAAACAGGTACATAAATGAATCAAGGAAACATTTTTGAATTTTTTAAAACATAAATCCTCCTCAAAATGTGAAATAATTATTAAAATTTAAGGAGTCACCTGTTTTTCACATTACAAATCGCGGGCGATTTTACGTACCCAAAACGATAGATTACCCTCACTTTTATTTACTATTTACTATTTATTTACTTTAGTCTAGATTCTAGGACTCTAGTCTAGATGAAGTCTAGATCTATATCTATAGAATCTAGATCTAGTAAATTCCAGTTAGTAATAGTAGGGTTGTCGGCATCGGCCGAGTTCGCGGTAAAAACATGACCCGAAATCGCCCATTACTTTCTGATACCGGACCCACGAGATTTGGTTTTGCATACTAATAAGTTTTTAATTTATGGTAATTAATTAAGTTTAAAAGGTCATTTCCTAAGGTTAATTAAAAAGAAGAGTGGTTATCCCTTAGTTTTAATGGCTTTGCGACCTGATTGCATGCTGTCTCTGCTTTGGTCTTCCCTCTGTATCAAGGTTAGTTTCAAATACGTTGGAATCTCGATTTTTTAAAAGATTCCTCTAGATGAGAGTAGATTACTGATCAGACATATCTTAAGTAATTGGAAATGAAATTTGTTTTTGGATATTTTGACTCCTACATTAGTTATACCCCTCCGAACGTAGTCACTGTATGTAGGTCACGCTGCCACCATTGTTATATTTTTTCATCCCGATCTTCCTGCCTTTAAGTTTGATCAACTAATAACAGCATTCTTATGGCATGTGTAAACAAATCTAATTTTTTATTTCAAAATATATTTACATACCCATCTTTAATTTGTTCAGCTCTAGTTCTAGTTTTGCAGAATATGGTTTTCCTAAAAATCCAATTTTGTCAGACTAGACTCTAGACTGACAAGAGTCAGACCTAGATCTAGGTTACCTGTCTGTTGCTATACACTAGCATTGTGCTAACTGTAATTTTAAGTATTCAAGTTCTACTTACCCTTAGATATAGTTATATGCTGAAAATCAGAATCCATACACAATTCACACATAAAAACATTGATCTGATAACTTCATTTCACTTATTACAAAATGGCTTTTATATGGACTCTACTTCACCTGCCCAAAATAACAAGGCAGTTATAGACACATTACAGTGTTCAAGTGATTTACTTTAGATTTCTGACTATGGAGTTCTTTCATTCACTGTATTTATATAAAATATTGCTTTAGAAACATTTTCATATTTGCGCAGCAGTTTTATAACAAAATGGCTTAAAGATGGACTCTACTTCACCTGCCCAAAATAATGAGGCAATTATATGCACATAACAGTGTTCAAGTCATTTACTTTAGATTTCTAACTTTGTAGTTCTTTCATTTGCTGTAGTTATATAAAATATGGCTTTAGAAACATTTTCATATTTGCGCAGCACACAGTTTTTTGGGGTTATGGGAGGAAGCCAACACAAAAATATAAGTTCTGTATTATTTTTATTAATTTCAACAGCATTTACAAGTTCTATATATCATTCTAGTTAAACTCTGCAAATATGAACAAAATACAACTGCAAGTAAAATAACTATGCTCAATTTATTCAGGTATACCATGACTTGTCACAATTGGCCAATGCTAAAGCAAGGGGATTCCACCTCTCACAAAAAAATTCGCAAAAAAAAAACTATTTGAGCTAGACAAAAAATCTTTTTTGTTTTGTTTTCATTTTGTTGAGCTCTACAAGAATATGTAATTTTTATTTTTATATGATGATTAGTGTTTTTTTACCTAAATCCCTAGTAATAGTGGGTGTGGGGAAATTGCAAGACGCGAAAAGCGAAATGGCGAGGCGGGAAAAGGCGAGACGGTAATGCGAGACATACCTGAGGAATTAAGGGTAAATAGCGAGACACTTTGCGAAAAAAGTTTTTTCCTTTTTTTTTTCCATCTTTATTTATTTCAATTATTTTTTTAAATATTTTTAAAATAAACAAGCATTTAACCATACCCTTTAACACGAGTGTTGTATGTTGTTATTTTTTATCTAGATACTAAGAAGATAGATAGATCTATGTCTAGATCTATCTATTTAAAAATCCTAACATCGTTGCTGTGTTACTGTCATCGCCCGCTCTTGTTAGCGAGAGGAAAATCCCGTCTCAGTCGGCATTAATTTAAAAATCTAGCCCACTCATGTTTATACAAACGTGAGCTGTGTCATTGTGAATTGGTATAATCTTGTCAGCAGGAGAGATATTTTGCAACATCTATTTATGGATTTTTGTACTTGCAAAAAGTGTAAAAGTATAAACAATTCTAAAAAGTGCAATTTATTTTTTTATTAAGTAATTTTAATTACAAACAAAATTTACAAACAAAATCTTCTGAAACAGTCCTCAAACACACCTCGTGACACCATCTTTCACACATAGTACACCCAACCCAGTTCATTAGACTCCCATTTATACATTTTTCTTTTGCTACTTCTTCCAATCCACATTCACAATATTTCACATTCTCATCACAGTTGACCTCCTCGTTCATCCCACAAACAACACTGGCACCGATGTTCTCATCATCATCATCCGCACGCTCAACATCTGTTTTCCGTTTTTTATAATTTGTATTTTTTACCATTTCTGTAATTTTGGCAATGTCTTGCTCATTGTTGTCACCAGCAGTTGAGTTTTTTTAAAACATCGATATTTTCCCAAAATCTTGTCTAATTTCGGTCAAAATAGAGTATTTTAATCAATTCCTATTACAATGTATTAAAACAGTTTTCTAAAACGTGAAAAAACGTCTAAAATTCTTTTTCTAACATTGCTTTTTTATAGTGTGACTTCACATCTAACCCCCCCCTCCCCCTCATCACACATCGTCATAAAATTACAGACCCCCCCCTACGAGTGTGACGTCATTTATGGAAGACCCCAAATAACACCACCACCAAAACCAAAAAATTCAGATAAGTTCAACTTGGTTTTAAAAATATTTGAAGTAGGCCCATAGCTTACGATATAGCACGAGCAACTGATAATATCGGTGACGTCATTTTATTTTGTTGTATCCAAATGATGTAGGCATTTCCTTGTGCTTAGATTTATATGATAAAAAAAGCTAGAAAAAAATCGTAGGCGGCGGCTATAATACAAAATTTCTATGCAACAATAGAAAATATGTTTGCGGCGGCAGCGGATCCGGGCACGGTGATCTTCAAAGACGGTAAATCAGGCGGCCTTGGCGTTCCACACAAAAGACAGAAGTTGATCTATCGTCGGCGGTATTTCCGTCGGTTTCGAACAAGGTGGTATTCTAAGTCGACACAAAAGATGGGGGGAGTTGACAAATCATTAGTATGTCTAGCGACGGAAAAATCGGAAGTTTAAACAATGTAAACGAAACGTCTTTGAAGTCTGGACCAAATACCACTGAAAATCGGGTGCGGTAAATTTTTTGCAGAAATCTTCGCATTTCAACACCACCCAGCGTAAGTATCGGCTTGTGGTAAAATGCGAGACAAAAAAGTCACGTGACCGACCGTTTTCGCGCCCTTCTCGCATTTTCCCGCCTCGCCATTTCGCTTTTCGCGTCTCGCAATTTCCCCACACCCAGTAATAGTAGGGCCTAACGTTTTTTGTGTGTCTACACAAGTCCTACAGTCTTAGTACTTAGTGTTAAACTACATAATATTAACTACGAAGTGACTACTCAGAAGATTTTTCTCCCTAACCACTTAGTCGGCAAAAGATAGCTCTGCGCATGCCCAGTGACCTAGGGTTAGGGATAGGATTAGGGTTGGTGTTAGGGTTCTGCGGTTGTAAACACGCATGCGCAGTACCATCGAAAACATCACTGCGATGGCCGAAGTTGTAGTTTCCATTGCGCATGCGTATCTTTTTCCTATAATAATATTGTAGTAGGGCATACTAATTTTAAAATCCTAATATATAAAAGCCCCTGTGCGCACTTCTCTCTCTCTCTCTCTGTCTGTCCGCAAAATATTTTCGCCGGACATCACATCAGAATCTGCAGCGAAATATGAAGAACTTTATACGGACTTTTGTTGAAAATAATATGTTAGATGTTTTAAGTGTATAACCACAATTTTATTTAAAGAAGAAAAATAAAAAATAAAGGCGTATTCGAATGTAGAAAAACAATTTTAATTATGCAACCGGAAAAATGTATATACTTGGGATAAGAACACATTTAACAATGACGTCGCTTATTGTTTACACTAAAAAAAAAGAGCACGAAACTGATGACGTCATCTTCCGAGTTTAGAATAAAATAAAGAAATGAACTATTTCATTCAAATATGATTTAGAGCTACGTACGCTATAAAATTTATACAATACAATTTTGCTCGGGCTAAACTTAAAAAAAAATTCTATTAGGATTCTAGATATAGATATTCTAGATCATCTGGAACTAGAGATTCTAGATCATCTGGATCTAGAGATTCTAGATCATCTAGATCTAGAGATTCTAGATCTAGATCTAAATGATCTAGATCTACGGAAAAACTAGTCTTACACAGATGTAGACCCTACCTAGATCTAGAATCTATTCAAATAATACATTTCTATACTAAAGTATTCAGGCCTTAATTACTTTATTGAAATCTTTGTTTATCTATGCAATCTGCTAATCTCTATAATATATAAAGCAAAGTTGTCGGGTGCCCGATAGGGCACTTCCCGGCCCCACAGGCGCTTTAAATTTGGCAGGATCTTGCCTTGGGGCGACAGAACACAGGGGCCGGTTGGCCGAAAAGTCTATGATGAAGGGTCAAAACTGACCTCGACTGACCGGCGCCTTTATGAGCTATAAATCGAAAAAAAAATGTCCACGTAGGAACCTCTTCATAACTCCTGAGGTCGTAGACCGACCCTCGGGCGAATTAATTAAGCATTCAAATTCTCAATGTTTTCGAAAGCCTAAGCGAAGCTGGGCAGCATGCCTAGTTTATTATATTAGGCCCCCTATTTAATACTTTTTATTATTAATTTAATAATTAGATCTAGAATCTAGACTAGATCTAGGGCCAAATTAAAAATATAGGGCCTAACTAATTAGTAATTAAGAAGGGGAAGGGTCATCCAGACTAAACTGTTTAACTGTGAAAATATGATAGTTCCAGCCATAGACAACGATGTTATGCATCTCTTTGCTAATTTTCAGCAAGAAAGACTTTAATAAATATTGGAAAACTGCAGGCCTCCATTTCAAATATAAACATTTTGAGTCAAATTATTTATAAATATTTTTTGCATCATACATTGACACTCATTTATACTGTATATAAGTATGGTAAAAAATGTATGTGCGTATTTACAGGCCTAATAGTTTTTTTTTGGCAATTTTTTTTTCGTGAATTTTCCATTGTCTGGGTGATCTTTCCCTCTGAAACTACTATAAGATACTACTAAACTAGTCTTGATTTCTAGGATTCCTTAAAAAAATTGCAATTGAAAACTTTTTACACTAAAAACTGTGCAAAACAGAAAAATGCTCAATTTAAACTCATTAGGCCTAGTATACTAATTTACTAATATTCTTGTATAGCATATGGTCATATTTTGTGGAAAGATGTTTGTTATATATTAAGCTACATTTAACATGTAGAATCTAGGCCCCAATCATTTTTTGCTAGCTTCTTAGTCAATTGAAAAACAATAAGCTTTCTGTTGAGCATTTTTCTGGTCTTCATAATCTTGTACCAGTAGTATCAATTATTTATAATTTTAAAAAATTATTTCTTTTTCTTAGGCCTTATTAAAATAATCACATTCAGATTGCTTTTATTGCAGACTTAGCCCTATGGCCTATATAAATTAATTAAATGTATTTTTTTTGTGTTTAACAGAGGTAAAGTAAATTAAAACATGTTTATTTCAATTTTCTACATCCACAGAATCTTATATTTCTTCTGTACATAGTGTATTTTCAGAGCATAATAAGAACCTGTGATAGAAAAGCTAATAATGGCAAGGTATGCTAAAGAATCTTGATTTTTCAATTTATTACTAGATTTTGCTTTAGTTTTAACTAGCAGTAAGTAGTTGTTTTCTTTTACAAAATGTTTAAAGTAAGTGTTCTGTTGAAGGCCTTTTTCAATATTTTTTAAACTCTTTGGACTGGGGATAACACAAGTATAGTATACGAATGCAGAAGCTATACATCTTTCAAGGTTTGTAGTAACATCCAGCAGAGTTTTATAACAAAACTCTTACAACCAGTTGACGCTCTCACCAGCAGTAAGAGGGATTTGACCAATAACACCATTGTTTTAGTTATAAACCTCTACCAAACTTCTTCAAATTTGCCAATATAACTTCTGGGTTACTATTTCACTTGCTTATTTATTGAGAGAATCATGATCCAACTAGACAAAATGTGATTACATAACAAACATTCCAGTCTTTCCACCTAGATGACAAGACAAAACTTGCTCTCCCTATCACAACCAGACTTTTTACTATTTCAAAACTTCATTAATAATTTGATATGCCAGAAGGTATTACATGTCTTTAAGAATGAATGTATACTGTGGTTAAGTATTGAAAAGGCCTGTTAATTTTAATATAGGTTCCTGATAGTAGTCAACAAAAGTAGCCATGGACGAGAGAAACAACCACTACAAGATTTATGATTAAAGACCAGATAGTGCATAGAGTACACAGAAATACATTTTAAATTATTAAGAACTTCTCTCTTTCTACAGGGATATTAGAAATTATACTTTTATTATCAAGGTAACTGTACCAAATTTGCAGTCATATATTTATGACATGTTCCCTAGCATTCCAAAATATTTTCTCAAAATTATTGTAATTTATTAGTTGCTTCCTTTATAGCTGCTGTAGTTGAATTGATTTTTAAACTTGTTTTTCACTATTTTTATGAAAGAAGGTATTTTATATCTATTTAATTTTGGTGACTGTTTTTATTTTAATGCCGGCATAGTTTTAATCTCCCCCATCTCCCACAACCATGTTTAGTTTTGATAATTATTAAATTTAGATTTGATAACTGTCAGGTTTTTGTGTGTTAGGCATAACACTTGTTAGTCCATTTTATTCCCAATTCTACACAAAAAGTACATCTACTATAATTAATGATTCAGTAACATTGTAATTAATACTTTAAAAAATGTATTTGAAGTGCAACGCTAAAAATTTCCTTAAGGGGTCATCTATAAATGACGTCACGCTTTTTTGACGATTTTTGCCTCCCCCCTCCCCTCTGTCACACGTCGTCACAAAAAGCCAGACCCCCCCCCCCCCTAAAATGACGTCACACCTCAACCTACAACCCCCCTCAAAATTGCAGTTGAATTTTTTTAAAACATCGATATTTTTCCAAAATCTTGTCTAAACTATTACAATTTATTAAAACAGTTATCTAAAACGCGGAATAAAGTCTAAAATTCGTTTTCTAACATTGCTTTTTTATAATGCAAAAATGTGACGTCGCAACATCTGAACCCCCCCCCCCTCATCACACATCGTCACAAAATTACGGACCCCCCCTCCCCCCTACGAGTGTGACGTCATTTATGGATGACCTCTAAGAGTAGGTTTACTCACTGGTACACAGAATAAAATATTTTAGTTCTTACAGAGTAGGCCTATTCCTTTCTTTGTATTTTCCTCCTTATCATTTACACAAAGTTCATTTCAAAATAACCTGATGTATGTCTATTCCTATCCGTTCATAGCAGTAGTGTCTAGACATGGGTACCTACAGCATATAGCTCAGGGAGCAGACAGCCTTTGTCTTGTTAAGACTGCCACTAACTATTAGTGTGTAAATTGTATACATAACATTTGTTTTGGTATATTTCTACAAGTTAAAGTATAAAAACATAATACTTTATTCTTTTTAGTTCTCTAAATACATGTGTGCATACAATATTTAAAAATGGGGCTTTTGACAAAAAAATTGTTTCTGACTTGTGGCTATTTTCAAAATAGATACATTTAGTAAAGCTGTTACAGCTCTGAAGGAAAACTTAAAATATAGTAATTTAATATTTGCGGTCGGATGATAGAGCATACAATTTATAACTAAAAAATCTTGAGTTTGAATCCCAGGTTCATGTCAGCACAGCATTCCTCAATCCACCCAGCTCTGATGGGAACCTGACTCATGTTGGGGAAAGTAAAGGCAGCTGGGAATAGTTCTGACTACACTATCCCATCATATGACACATGCTCTCTCAAATCCTTTTAAGGATTCATATCATAGTGATAGGATTATGGTCACCGTAAAGTTTTCTCCGATGGCTTGACAGAAATTTGATTTATATAGATATAACTAGATGCATTTAGCAGGCTTATTCTTATGTACCAAAACACATGAATGATCCTTGCTAATATAATACTTTATAATGCTATAACCATGAAATGCTTATTATATTAATTCTATGGTTAAGTTATGTAAGAAATAATCTGTGCCTTGACAGCATTGTGGGTGAACTACATTTTAGCCCCAGTACATCTCTTCCAAAATCTTAGTGCCCATTTATTTGGATACCTTGAAATTTGTTTTCACTTTTTAGAATAGTCTTCTCCCAACATCCTACTACATTTTTAACCCTTGTAGTATTTGATTGGGCACCAATTTTATGCTGACCTCATTAGATTTTTCTGTTTGATTTTTAGAGTCTTTCCCTTTGTTTTTATTGTTACTGAATAGCATTATGTCATAAATAAAATTTGCCTAGGTTCTAATATTTTACAGTTCTTGTTAAGCAACAAACTACATAGCAGCAGGTTTAATCTTAAAGCCTTAGTTTGTTTTAAAGTTTATTATTGGATGTAAAAGGTTTTTAATTTTTTTATTTAAAAAAGAAACCAATAGTATTTTTACTAATCATATGTTGATTTTTTTTTATTATTTCTTGTGGTTTTTACCATAGTTTGAAATTTACAATATTAATTAAGACAGTTGATTTTAGGAAAGGAAAATCAAAACAAGTTGTCAAAATGAAATTTTTTGTTTATTTCAGAATTTACTTTAACTGTCCTTGCTCTACCACTAAAGGAAGCAACATGTATACAATATTCCGTTGGGTATTCTTCGGAGCGGTTTTTGTGATCGGGCTGATAGTAATTCTACCCATACCTAATTTGTTTAGTTTATCAAAGTCTGATGAAACCACACCTGTTAGTGAGTTGCATTATGGTATTGTAATTGACTGTGGTAGCAGTGGCAGTAGAATATTTGTTTACTATTGGCCAACACACTCTGGAAATCCCAAAGATTTGCTTAATATACAACAGCTATTAGATGATTCAGGAAATGCAGTTGTGAAAAAAGTATCTCCTGGTAAGAAGTTATAGAGAGTTATAAACAACTTTTTAAAATGTATTTGATCATCTAATTATACTTTTTAAATGTGTGATACTTTATAATTTATTTTTATAAACATGACAGGTTTATCATCGTTTGAAAATGATCCTGATTCAGCTAGTGATCATATAAAAGAACTACTTCTATATGCGAAACAATATATCCCTGAAAAGAAACATTCAGAAACATTCCTATATGTGATGGCTACAGCAGGGATGAGGATGTTGTCTCAAAAGTGAGAAATGTGCTGTTATTTTTACACACTTGTCTTTTCCCTTGTTTGTTTTTGATATTTTTTAATTCACTGGCCGCATTTATAGATTTATATATGGCTGCTAAATTTTTAAAATTTTAAAGCATTTAAAGTTTAAGCATACTATTTATTGACATAAGGCCTCAATTGTTAAAGAAATAAATAAATCATTTGACATGTTCATTTTTTCAATGCTTCAGTGCTCAACAAGCTATTCTACAAGATTTGCAAAGAGATATTACAAAGGAATTTAATTTCATAGCAACAGATAACCATTTTGAAGTTATAAGTGGAAAACAAGAAGGCGTTTATGCATGGATAGCCATCAATTATGTTTTAGATAGGTTTTCTCATTCTCCTCATGGTAATATTATAATAAGGTGCTTTATATTAAATTAAAATGGTATTGCCTACAGTTGTAGTACTGAATAGTGTTCTTTATCCATATTACCTTTTACCTTTTTAAAAAACACAAAAATACAGATTTTGAATTTTTATGCATTTAATTTAATCATAAATCTTAAGCCAACTGTATTTAATTTTAAAAAAATATAATTATATTTCAGAAAATTAACTATTGTCTCCAAAGTTGAATTTTGAATTTTTATGCATTTAATTTAATCATAAATCTTAGCCAACTGTATTTAATTTTAAAAAAATATAATTATATTTCAGAAAATAAACTATTGTCTCCAAAGTTGTCACAATTAAAAATATATTTTACAGTAAACTCTGCTGATAAACAACCTGAATGCACATTATTATTTAAATAATTATGTTAAAATTTAAAATGTAAACTTACTTTCCACAAATACTATGTGTAATTCATCATTTGTGTCAATGATTTTGTTATCTCTAGAAATAATGAGCTTAAAGATTATTTTCTGCTTTGTAAGTTTTCAAGTAAACCTACTTGTAATTACTTATTCTTGAAGGTCCTGAATTAGCTACAGTAAATATACAGAGTGGAGAAAAGTCAGCACCAAGATCCCACACTAGGAAAAGTACTGTTGGTATTATTGACATGGGTGGAGGATCAGTACAGATAGCATTTGAAGTTACTGACCCAGTGAGTAAATTATGTTTATTGCTGTTATTTACTGTTAACAAATATTAGTTATCTTCTGATTGTTACTTTGTTGAATGACATTCAAGAGAATCCTAGAATTTGCAGCATTTACATTTTTATTTTGTTTAAAGATTGCTTACACTTACATGTTATTAATTGAAATTGTTTATCACTGATTAAATAAAAAAAAAAATCTCATATTGAAATTTCAGGAGAAAGTTAAGGAAATTCCCCCATCTCTTTTGTCAGAGTTGGATCTGGGTTGTGAGGAAAGTGATTTGGATCACACGTACAATGTATATGTTACAACATTCCTTGGCTATGGAGCTAACTCTGCCAGAGTCAGATATGAGCAGATGTTACTAGAGCAAGCTGCTATACATCAACCAAAGTAAATTAAAATCTAATTAGTTTAATTATTTATTAATTAGGACAGTAGATGTACACTAGTTTTCTTCTTGATGTAACAGATTAGTGGTTTTATTTAGATTTTACACATCACAAACCTATAAGCTTTTAATAGGGAAATGAAAATTTCTGTGGTAGCTATACTTAAAAAAAAATATTTCTTGTAAATACATGAAATGTATATAATTTCACAATAACATAAATTTGCATTTGTTTTTAATACTCATTATAGTAGAAATATTTTAATCTTTTGAGTTCAGAGTAAATGACATTAGTTTTATAAAATAATTCCAAGATTATTTTTGTTTGACAATAGGTAACCAAATAGTTGCTTAACCATGTGACTGTTTTAGAAAGTTACAAGTTTTAAACATTTCAATGAATAAAATCTGAATTTTCAGCAGTAGTGGAAAGCTTGGACCAGTAAATGATGTTTGTTTACCAAAAGGCATGAAGTATCATAGCAAAAATGAAGGAGGGCGTAGCTACCAGTTCATAGGCACAGGAGACTACGAAGCTTGCAACGCTGCACTTGTACCTTTAATGAACCTCACTGTTCCATGTACTAAGGAGCCTTGTTCTCTGAATGGTGTTCATCAGCCTCATATTGATACTTCTAAATCCTTTTACGGCTTCTCAGAGTTCTGGTATTGCACTGAAGATGTTTTAAGAATAGGTGGACAATATGACTATACTAAATTTCATCAGGATGCAAAGGTTAGTTAGTGTTTTACACAAAATAATGATTGATGAACATACGGCAAAGATTTTCAATTTAGTGGTTTTAAAAAAAATAACAATTTCTGTTTATTTTTATAACTTATTACAAACTTGTTATGATGACAAAATACAATTTGAAAGAATGGCTTCAAACTGAATGATTAAAAATATTTAATTGTTAATTTAATTTTCTTTTAAACTGCTTGAAAATTGTTAATATAATTATGCTCTAAGTTGATGTTTTTTTCTCAGGAATTCTGTAGCACTGACTGGAATATTTTACATGATAGATATAAAAAGAAATTGTATCCAAAAGCTGATGATGATCGTTTTAGGTAAGTAAATATAATGTCAGCTTATTTTCTTGTTATTTAAATAATATGTCAGTTTATTTTCTTGTTATTTAAATAAAATGTCAGTTTATTTTCTTTTTATTTAAATAGTCGAAAAATATTAACCCTTGTTAAAAAAATATAGATTTCAGTGTTTCAAATCTGCGTGGATGGAACAAGTCTTCCATGCTGGTTTCTCATTTCCTCATGGTTATTCCAAGTTAACAACTGCTCAGTTAGTCAGTGGTAAAGATGTTGGCTGGACTCTTGGTGCTCTTATCTACAAAACAAAATTTCTACCTCTTAGGTAAGTGATGTGATGCTTCTGAACTGCTAGTTACCAACTGGTTACTATTGTTACTTGTAAATTTAGATCTTAAATGTTGTACTATATTTGATAGTTGATCCAGTAGTTTGAGTTAACTATTACTAGTCAACTACAACATTTAAAATAAGCCATACTCAAAGATTTCATCAAGTAAACTTAAGTCTAAATTTAGGCATAACTATTTAAAAAATTATAATAATGTTTTTTTTTGAACAGGGCTATAGAAAAGCAGAAAGAACTTCAGCTTAAAGAAGTAACTTCACAATGGCAGAAGGCATCGCGAACACTTGACACATCCTTTATATTGATAGGTTGCTTTGTTGTAGTTTTGGCCGCCATTTTTATTTATATGAAACAGCTCAAGTGTTGCCCACGTACATCAGATCTGTCTCGGGTGCCATCCATGTCATATTTCATGACAGACCAAGATCAAATGGAGCAGGGTGTACAGCTTGTTAAAGGTCAAGGTTACATCTTGTGATCTTTAAAAGAGTCATTATTTTTTAAAAATGTTTTACTAATAGTAACAATGTATACATTTATGAAATGGGTTTTCTGTGCCAAAGGTAGATGTCACCATTTTAGTTTCAGTTTTAAGTTAAATCCATGATTATTTATTTAATCTTATAATTACTACTTTACCAAGAACATTAGTTTCATATCCATAGAATTCTAGTTTTGAAAAAGAAAAACTATCATTTGGTAAGAGCAGTTTAGTGGCTATATTATTAAATATACCCTGCAAAAAACTAAAATTTGTATTTCTTCTTTTTTAAAACACTGATTTGCATTTTATACAACAATTTGTTGAGCTAATCAGCATTTACAATAATATTCAATTTTTATTTAAAATTATAGCAGATTTTACTATTATCTTTTTTTAACAGATTTTATTTTATTTTATTGACTATTTACTGCATCATGTTGATATTGGATTTTCATTACTGTTAAGAGTTTTCATTCTCCATCCACCAGTCCTCCCCCCCCTCCCCACAAATCAACTTTATGTTGACATTACACTTTTGTAAAACTATTAGTATTAGTGCAGCATCCATCAATCAAACCTCTTTATTTTTGGATTAAAGAGTTAAAACTACCACTTTGAGATGATAATATTTTGAGCCTTATTATTTTCTGAGTTATTATATTTACATACTGCACTTAATTGTTAATGCTAAAGTCTCTGTTGACACCTACATTTACCACTCAGTAATACATTCATTTCAAATATTCATCGTAAATATGAGTTTAATTATTTTAGATTAAAATGAACACATCAAAGAATTATATGAATGATAATGATGTTATCTTAAAGTTATTTATTTTTATTAATAATTTGTATTATTGTTGTTTTTTTTTTCATTAATTCTTTGCATTTTATTATAAAATAATGAAAACATTAGTCCAGCTGAAGTAGTTAAGCTAGACTAAAATTATTTCACTACTATGAGATATTTTTAAAAACATTATTGTGTAGATTTTTTAGCCAACACTTGCTAATATACTTAAAAATTACTTTTCCCATTTTCCTTAAAGCAAGTAAACTGTACCATACTTACTGCAAAAAAATGTTTATAGTCAAGAAATGAAGATATTTTAATGGATAAAATATATTAAAACTTTAACTACTTGGATTTGATTGAACAGTAAGACTAGAAGAACCTAAATAATAATCGACAAGAAAAGTTGATCTGTCTTCTTTTTAGCTATATTAATTATTTTTATCTATTGTTAAAATAAATAGCTAGACAATGTGTTTTATGATCTATTGATTGTACCTGCCCCATACTTACAATAAATTGCTCAAAATGATAAAATGACTTCTAGAGGGAAGAATGGTCAGATATACGAACCATCTAAAATATGAATATCAAAACTGCACATAATATTAATTTTGTATGTATAAATAGGCTGAAACAAACATTGCAACTTTAAAGTAAATATAAAATTGGATGCATTATGTATATCATGTAATGTCTGGACAGCTCAGTTTGTATATAATTACTTTACAAATAACCATTTGTAAGTTTGTAAATATAGCTGTACTGAGCAGAAAATAATAGAGGGCGTTGTATTTCCAAAGCCCTGACAAGTTATCTGATGTAAACCATCACATGCATGGCTTAAATCATGCATTTGATAATCATTTAGCAAAATGGTTGTCTAATTACTTAATTACAAAATAACATGAAGGTTGTAAGGCTGATGCAGATGTAATAATTGTGACTCATTTGAATGATTTTTGAGTTGAGTTAAAATACAGATGTATACTTTTGTTTATTGCATGCTTTTGATTTGTTAAAAATAGTAAAGAAAAAATTGACAATTAATACAGTAGAGTTTACAAATATACCAAAGACATTTTCCTTGGGAGCTAGCTGTATATCCCTGCTAGAACATAATGGTGTTACTCTCCCCCTTCCCACCCGATTAATAATTTTTCTGTTCCTCCTTTACTTGCACGTTACTGATTTCTGTCTAAAAAGTTATTCCAAGACATAAGACTGTTATTGGGTAATTGATATAATTTAATTATACTTATTCTTTTGAACTAATATACTTATTGAAATGTCAATATGAGGGTGAATATATTCCAGCTCAAAGCTGTGTAGTGATGGGTATTTTGATTGTGATTACTCTGTCTTTGCATTTTGTAAGATTTAAAGGGTTACCTTGTGTGTTTTTTTAAGTTGCTTTTACAATGACCACTAAACTATTGTAGAAGTATTTTGAATGTTTTATTATAAATATGTTAGTGTTAGCTCATATAATCTGATTTTTGTTAATATTTATGGACATGACCATTAAGGAATAGAAATTGTGTAGAAAATTTTGTATAAGGACTTATGAAAAAAGTAATGAAGGGAATATCTTTAAAAAGAAAATTACTTTAATAGTGAGTGCAAGCTAATAAATAACTAGTCAGATGTGTTTTATTGATTGAAGTCTGTTTTGATGAAATTTTCTTTGACTGTAAAAATCCAAATTTTGAAGAATGATACTAATTTTATACTTCATAGAATATTTCAAGTGTGATATAAACATAAGTGGCAAGGATATTAACTATTACCTTGTAAAATAATCCACCTTCATAATTTCACTCTACTTATGTTTTTCTAAAAATCTCATGATTGATTAAAGTTAGTGGGATAAGTCAATCAAATGAATTTCTTTAATGTTAAATAAAAACCTTGCGTTTTTGTTACATTTTCGCGTTTTATAATGTGTTGCATTCTTTAACATTTCTTAGTCTAGTTCGTAGATTAATATAATTAGTAATTAGTTTGCGTGCTTATTTGTATTGAAATAGCATTGATTTTTAGTATAGTACATCTTTTCAATCAAAACTTTTTACAAGTTTAAATTTTTACTTCAGCTACTAATTTGACAAAAGTCTGAAAACTAATCAATAGGAAAACATTTTTGTGTTTGTTTAGAGGCTGTACTACAGAAGCTTTGTACCATCCTTTAAAGTGAGTTTCACAACTTCTGTTTCAATGGCTTAAAATGACCATCAAAATATTAATTTTGATAACAACACTGCTCCAAGTGCAGAGAGAAAATTTTAATAGTTCATTTTGTCTTAAAATCCGGTGTCTGAACAACTTCCTTCACTTTTCAAATTACAGAATCCCAATCAAAACTTATAGAAATAATTGTGTGAAACACAAAGCTAAATATAATAGTGTTTTAAGCCACAAAGGAATATAAATTAGGTGGTAAGACTTAAATCCTGAGTTATTTCCTGTGTTTCAATTAGCAATAATAATGACATATGTTTATGTAACTTTTCATTCCATTTAGCAACAAAATTTTAATTGTACTCATAAGACTGTGATAAATTGTCCAAAAAATTGGATGTTTACGTATTTGTACATTTTGAAAGAAATGGATTTGTATGTGTTTGAAAATGATGTAAAACATAAATATATATTTTTATTTAGAAAACAAACTTAACTATCCCTCTATTCTGTTTTAACTTTATTTTTGAACATTCACAAATGTATTTTCACTCATATAAGACCATCAATTATGTACAAAATTGTTCTAATTTAAAATGCACAGTATTTATTTACTTTCTAATTTGGTCTTCCCTCAGAGATTATAGAGTTTTTAATCATTAGGAATGAGATAAATGAATATTTGATTCTTTATTTCTTTATACTATAATTAATGTTATAGATGTACAGATCAATTTATGTTAAAGTAATTTTAACAGTTTGCTAAACAAATAAATTTAGAGCTATTTTATTGTAAAACTACTTATTAGCCTCTTTTGTCTAAAATATTATCCCCCCCCCCCCCCCGAATCACAATAAGTCATTATAAAATCAAAGTTCTTTATTTTTCTTTTAGACAGACTCCACACCTTGCATGTATATTAGATGTACTGTCATTTATGCAACATTGGATATGATGGAAGAAAACTGCATTTAGTATAACATTATGTATTTTAAGATGTTTGTTATACATCCATCAATATTTTATTTCATTACTTGATATGTATTTGAAAAACAAAATGTAGGTTGGAATATGCACGTAAATGGGAAAATCTCAATACAGGCTGGTTTTTTTAAACAATGTGTTTGTTGTTTTATTTTGGAGAGAAAGAGAAAGAAAAGAAAGAGAAAAAAAAACAACAATGTAACATAGTAATTTGATTTAATCAAAATCTAGTTGTGTTATGAGAATATCAACCTGATTGTGGATGATAATAAAATGTGGGTTGAGTTGTAGTTAAATGAGAATATCAGCCTGATTGTGGAGGAGACCCAAGTAACAGCTACCAAGCAGCCACCAGAAAGTGAGTCTGTAAGCAAATGTGAATATTAAAAAAAACATTTCTATTTCTTGAGTAAGTTGTATGTAGGTTTATCAAAATAATTTAGATTCTCCAATCTAATTGAAATTCTACACAACTAGTCAATTTATGAGATTATTCTAGGTGATAAGAAAATAAAAGTTCAAATAAAGAACAGTTATTGTTATGAAATTTTGGTTTTCTGAGCAATAAAAAATAATAGGACTTTAAATTAACATTTCTTACTTACATTTACGAGACCTTAATTTTATCAACATTTACAGTGCCAAAGATAATCAACAGTATTTGCTATTTGCTGGATAATAACTTAATGTCCATAAATATTTATCTCTCTTCACTTCCCGCCATGGGCCCCAAAATAAAAAAAATTGTCTCTTCTAATCCTAGATACACTTTTGGTGATAGTGTGCTGGTACCTCGATATGCCTACCAATTCAAAATATTGTATGGCATGTTTCAGATATATATATATATATATATATATATATATATATATATATATATATATATATATATATATATATATATATATATATATATATATATATATATATATATATATATATATATATATATATATATATATATATATATATATATATATATATATATATATATATATATATATATATATATATATATATATATATATATATATAGGCATATATATATATATATATAGGCATATATATTTATAATTTTTTTTACTAATTTTCCTCCTCCATGGGGGGTGGGGTCATCCATAAAGCCAGACCCCTCCCTCCCTAAAACAACGTAACACCCCAGCCTATAAACTATTCAAAATTGCATTCAACATTAAAAAACCAATCAATTCAATTACATTTTACAGCGACAATCTTTGAAATCGCGAAATGACGGATGAGATTAAATTTCAAACATTACTTTTTAAAATACAAAAGTGTGACGTGCCTCGTCTCGTTGCCTCACCCCTACCCATCGTCACACAATTCTGCCCCCCCCCTCTTCCAGGATTGTGTCTTCATTTATAGACGACCCCTACTAGTGAGATGATAGTGAGAATATGAGACTAATAATGGTCAACACAAAAGTTTTTATGGTTTCATATCTTGGTTAGGGGGTCATACATAAATGACGTCACGCTTTTTTGGGACGATTTTTACCTCCCCCCTCCCCTCCGTCACACGTCGTCACAAAAAGACAGACCCCCCCCTAAAATGACGTCACACCTCAGCCTACAATCCTGAACTCTGTCAAAATAGAGTATTTTAATGAATTCCTATTTCAATTTATTAAAACGTCTAAATTTCGTTTTCTAACATTGCTTTTCTATAATGCAAGAGTGTGACGTCACATCATCTAACCCCCCCCTCCCCCTCATCACACACCGTCACAAAATTACGGATCTCCCCCCCCCCCTCCCACGAGTGTGACGTCATTTATGTACGACCCCTATTAAATTAAATTCATCAAGTTATTATCTATGTACCAGTTATAGGCTCATGTAACAAAAATGTCCTATTCACGTTTATTTATACTAGCTGGTGCATACATCATATATTCTAACCGTTAAATTAGAAGTAAGCATTTAAAAGTTAGCACTGATAACTATTGTTAAAAAAAATACACCGTCAGTGCTAGGACAGACAATCGATTTTCTGACACGGAAAACGCGTAGCCGAAATTTTAGGACATTTCAACGATTCTTAGCGCATTGATTTAGCCCTGAGAATTATTAATCAGGCCTGCAATAATAATACATTTATTTTTCGGTTTTTGGTTTTAAAATAATCGAACAGAATTTTACAATTGTTTTTTTAAACAAATGAAAGTTAAGTTAAAAATAAAATACATCTTTTAATAAATTTGGCTTTCGTTTTTATGCCATCCTGGCAAACATAAAGTCACTCACGCACACACTTTGTAAGCTCCAATTCGACTCACACGCCTGGCAAGGATAGTGCACTCGTTTGGCATGGTTGCGTTTGACTGTTTACATTGCGGGTTTCAGCTGATAGATGTTTAAGTTAATTATTATTGCTGACCGTGTGTTTATAGTTAATAGTGAGTAGCATGATTTAGATTTTTCTTTATTAATTTCGTAATACGAATTAATAATTTAGTAAGTTTTACTTGTCACTAGATTCTAGAATCTAGATCTACATTATTTTTTTTATCGGTGCGATGTTTTTCTGAATGGGAATTCCTGTTTCAAAATTGCACAGTATGATAATCATGGCATAAATAATAGATTTAGTGCTCACATGCCATATGGCGCATCTGAGATTGTACTAAAAAAGAAAGCTAGAGTTAGCAAGACAGCTAAAAAAGGTGAGTACTTTTGTTATTCTATTCATTACTGATATCTTTTCTGGCATTAAGTAATAGTGATTCTGGTAAAATTAATGTTGGTAACCGATTCTATTAGGCTATAATTTAATTTAAAAAAAAAATACTGCATTTTAATATTAAATAATATAGATTCTAGGTCTGAAGACAAAGAGTTACTTATTGATATTAGTATTATTAGTTATACTCTTTTTTCAATTTTTAAATTAAACCTCTTACAATTTTTATGTAGGCATCTATTTACTTAATTATTAATATTAGACTCCATGTCCATTGTCCTATCTATTAGCCTACCATATTTTATTTTTACTTGGTATAATATTCCTATACATATATATGTATGTATATGTATATATATATATATATATATATATATATATATATATATATATATATATATATATATATATATATATATATTTATATATATATATTTATTTATATATATATATATATCTATAATAGGAATATCATACCAAGTAAAAATAAAATATATATATATTGTTTAAAAATCAGTTATGTTCCTTATCAAATAATCAAATTAAATTGGTGGTGCCGGAGCTACTATATCTACATACTTAACTTTAATCTATATAATAATCTATCATGCAGAAAATTGAAGTTTTACAAATTATCATTGTTGTGTTGCTAAATACTATCAATTGACATTAGATATTAGGTTTCATATGTGATAGTACTGAATATTTTACAGTTACTTATCGATGGAAAATGATAGCTGTCTAACACTTCATAGTTGTTGTAAGTTAGATTGCAAGGATGTGATTTGAACACATTTTTTAAAACTCCCCACCAGTCATTTAAAGCATAAACTAGATTTGAGCACCTGGAAACATAGGGATCACTTGGATCTCTACTTGCAACATGTAATTAAGTAGGCTACTAATGGTCCAGATATAACAATGTATCCCGAGCATTAAAAACTTCCTGTTTCCTTACTAGAATGAAAAGCTCATTAAATGTAAAATAAGTCCACACATATATAAGGTTAAGTTTTAATAATATCTGTTCGTTGTAAAATTACAAGTTTAAAAGATAGTTTATTTCTTTATGTGTTAAAATCATTAAGGTTACTCACCACTTGATGCTAGTTTGAGTTGTGTTAAGACAAACTAATTAAACTTTTTTTTTATATATTTAGAACATTAATTAAAGTAAGCTGCACATATATTCTTGTTTACAAACAAATAATGAAACATACATTTTGAAATAAAATTTCTTGAAAAGCATGTCTTAGCCATCTAATTAGTTGATGGATGTCTTAAAAGAACAGCTATACACACTTGTCCATCAAAATTGAATTATTACTACAAAATATTTTTCAGTTTACAGTTACATGCTTGCATTATGAAAGATGCTGATGTAGATAATTATTGGGTGAACATAGTGTATTGATAACAAGAGGAATTAGAATCTGATATTTGGGCATAATCTTATATGATATAACCTAATATTTCAGGGGAAAAATTACTGGAATATTGTATCTTATTTATGTTTGTAACTAAATTAAGATTTAGATATTCTCACCAAAAATTACTAAAATTGTTTAAAAAAAGATTTCTATTGTGAATTGTGTATGAGGATAACTATTTACAACTGTGATTTTCTGTTCTGTTTACCTACAGGATCAATCAGTAGACATTCTTTAGTGACATGTAAAAAAAAAAGTTATCTTTCTCACTGCAATTCACGTTTTTTTTTTACTCTACCTATCCGTCAGAGTTCTACATTGTGAACAGTGGAATGAAACGTGCGCATATCTATTTATAGTTGCCTGTAACCTTTCCCCTTAGTTTTAAATAGAAATCTGGCAACTGATATTTTGTTTCTATTTTTATCGCTATCGAAATGATTTTAATTCTCGTCTTTAAAAAATTGTACACGGATATTATTTTCAGAACGGAATATTTTTTTTTTAGCCGAACTATGGATTTGAGACGTCATTTTCATTACCTTTTCTTTGGCAGACGTCATGTGCTGTAATGGCACGTAATGACTGTCGATCAATAATATCCCGTGACTCATGCCTTCTTTATCTCTGGATAGCTATCGTCTGGAGGCAACCGAACTGTGGTCGCGCAGTAATCTCTGTGTTCACTTCTACTTTTCACTTGCCCTTTATTTTACTCAGCGATTTAATAGAAAACACCCCGGGCATGTAGAGAGAGAAAAAAATCACACAAGCTCACACATTAAAAGCTGCTTCTAAAATGTTCAGCTGTTCTTCGTTTACACGAAAGACAAAAAAAAAATCAGTTGTTTTATTAACATTTTTTCTCTCTCTCACTTTTGTATCTCAGCTGTATTTATACAAGAGCAGGGCAAAATCTTTATAAATTAATCTTCACCCGGAATTTTTGTTTTCTCTTTGTAAAGAAGGATTTGGTTGTCCGGTAAATAATTCCAATATTAACAAGAAGAGATCTACAAGTCTATGTGTAGTGGCAACAGGGCTTATTCTAGTCTGACGTATCCGAATATGATCTTTATGTAATCATCTGCTGAGAGAGTTACATAGGCAAACATAGCAGCATACAAAATAAAGTTGTTTACTACAGCAACGTAAGATCACACTTACATTATCCTTGTTAGCCTAAAGGAAACAATAATTAAACAATTTAAAAACACTGTTGATTCACATTTGTAGTTATTGCATGCATTCAACAATGTTGATGTCAATAGGTTTATAAAATAATAGTAGACCTTATGGGTAACAATGTTTACCGTAATTTTTGGACACGCCCCCACCCCCAGCTGTTTTGCAGTAGCAGTGTATACTTTTTATAACGGGACAGGAATTCGGTGGGACGAACCGTCAGCCAAGCCTGTAAATTATAATCTAATAACTCTACTGTTTCCTCAAGTGTTCGGTGGCCCCACGAGTCAATGCGACCCCCACCAACCTGCTCCACCCTGCCTCCCCCCCCCCGTGTTTAGCCTCTGCATGACTCAGCCTCCGTTACTCACCCTCTGCGTTCAATGCCGTGTGTGTTTGCACGTGAGTGTTTTATTGTGATCGCTGTCAAGGCTGCGTCTATCGATACTGACTTGTTGAAAACCCCGGGTAAAAATGTAAATTAACTCATCCTCCCCACAACGCTAAGTACATCAAAACATTATTGTGATTAATTATTGATCCCCTAGATCAAGTACACCGTAAGTTAAAAATGAGCGTGTATAAAGATACAGTATTTCACATCAATACTGCCGAGGACTCTGTTTTATGGTCGATAATGATCAGCTGTTTCCTTGTAATGTCAAGGCTGTTTGATCATAAGGAAGTCTAGTCTGGTTTCAAAGAGCTGCAGTTAATGGATCCGCTAATCAACAATAACTATTGGTTTGTTGTCATGTCGTTCAAGCTATTTATACACAACACGGTCGTTTTCTGCTGCATTACGAGACGACTGGTTTATTTTGTCATAGGAACCATACAAGTAGTTTATTTTGTCAGAGAAACCGTACGACTGGTTTATATTGTCAGAGGAACCGTACGACTGGTTTATATTGTCAGAGGAACCGTACGACTGGATTATATTATCAGAGGAACCGTACAACTGGTTTATATTGTTAGAGGAACCGTACGACTGGTTTATATTGTCAGAGGAACCGCACGACTGGTTTATATTATCATAGGAGCCGTGCAACTGGTTTATATTGTCAGAGGAACCGTACGACTGGTTTATATTATCATAGGAGCCGTGCAACTGGTTTATATTGTCAGAGTTGTAATTTAGATTAAACAAGGATTATTATCTACCCATCTAGCTAAATACGATTAAAGAACAGCAAGTAACTACTGTTAATATTTCTGTTACATAGCCTTCTCGAAGCACGCTACTAATCCGCAACAGTTTATTGTGTTGTTTTTATTGACTATGAAAAACTTGATGGTGGGAAGTTGCTGTGCCACGGTAATATAATGATTGATAACGTAATTTGATTATGATTTTTGCACAGAGTGCCCCGTGTATCGAACTGGTCATGTTGTGATACGTTTCCATGGTTTATGGGGCTTGGTGTGGGCCAGGAGATCGATACAGGGTTCAAATTATCGCTGACTTTCGCCCCTACCCCCTGTCTTACCCCCACCCCTTCAACAAACACAGACAGCTGTTGTTTCTCTTATTAAAGTTCCAGAATCGAGATAAATCAAGAGCCCCAACCACGGGCCATTTCGACGTTATCAGTAGTTTGATAAAAATCTGGGCTATGTCCTCTGATTACATCTTTATGGTGATTTGGCATCCATGTTGATTCTCTGGAATCAATGTTAGGGCTTTATGCACGCTTTGTGCTGGGCACTTGTTTTTTTTTATCAGCACACCAAATCTGTTTTTATAAACGTCAATAAATCCTTGCGAAATGATTCATTCAAATTTTGCTTGTAGGCCGCTGGGTAAAGTCTATTGTAGGCTGAGTATGATTTTTGTTTGTGTTAATGTTCTGTCAATCTAAAAAAACACTTGTTCACGTGACATCTAAGTTAATTAGGTGACTCATGTTTTTTAAAACACTTTTATCTCTTAACTTTAAAAAAAAACCCATTTTACTGGTTACTAAAAAAAAAATCCCCCCTCCCAAAAAAAACCCAACATCAACCAACTCTTTTAATTATTAATTTTCTAATTTGTTTGATTGTCAAAGCGAACTCGAATTACTTCCTTGTACACGTTTCTTTACTTAGACCTTTAGCCGGATCAAGCTGCGTTTAAAATTGCCATAATTCTCCGTAGTTCTCGTGAGTTCAGTCATAGCCTAACAGTGTTGTCTACTTAGACCTTTAGCCAGATCAAGCTGCGTTTAAAATTGCCATAATTCTCTGTAGTTCTCGTGAGTTCAGTCATAGCCTAACAGTGTTGTCTACTTAGACCTTTAGCCAGATCAAGCTGCGGTTAAAATTGCCTTAATTCTCGGTAGTTCTCGTGAGTTCAGTCATAGCCTAACAGTGTTGTCTACTTAGACCTTTAGCCAGATCAAGCTGCGGTTAAAATTGCCTTAATTCTCCGTAGTTCTCGCTAGTTCAGCCATAGCCTCACAGTGTTGTCTACTCTACTGCCACCTGGCTTAAGTTTTTGCTCCACACTTGGTGCACGAGACAACGATTTTTCTAAATTTACCCGCGGATTCGCCCTTTTTAGCTGGAGGCTGTTTGGCTCATACCTGGATGACGAGTCGTTCTTACCTGAGATAGTTAAAATCTTTCTCTGGGTACTTTTTGAATCTCGACTATAGGAGTATTGATTTGCCGATCGGGACAAATACTTTGTTGGGCGTGAAGATTTGAGTCATTATGTGTGGAGCGTCGTGGCGGATACAGAAACGGCGTAGTTAAACCACCATGCGACAATGACACGAACGATCTGCCCGTCTAGCTCGAACTAATGGACCCATGTCTCTTCCTATTTTTCTGGCAAGAATTTGACGAGTTCTTTCATAGTCGAAGACCAAATAGAAATCACCATTAAGCTGGCCTCTCGCTCAATGTCCAGCTAATCAAGTCCTACTGACATATTGTTCGTCAGCATTAATAACTATAACAGATTGACTTTCCAGCACCCTGATGCTAGTATCCGCCTACAATTTGACATTTTCCACAGGCCTAAAATCGATACCACACTCCACCCCACACAGGGAGAAAAAAACAACAAGAGCCTCTGAATAAAAGAGAGAGTTGAACAGAGAGTTGTATGAATCTAATGTAAACGTTATGTGAACAGAGTTGTATGAATCTAATGTAAACGTTATGTGAACAGAGTTGTATGAATCTAATGTAAACGTTATGTGAACAGAGTTGTATGAATCTAATGTAAACGTTATGTGAACAGAGTTGTATGAATCTAATGTAAACGTTATGTGAACAGAGTTGTATGAATCTAATGTAAACGTTATGTGAACAGAGTTGTATGAATCTAATGTAAACGTTATGTGAACAGAGTTGTATGAATCTAATGTAAACGTTATGTGAACAGAGTTGTATGAATCTAATGTAAACGTTACGCTCTGATCTGATGTTCACCCTGTCGTGTTTGTGGATTCATTGAATTGTTAATTTGCTCAATTATTTTCCTTCTGGACAGTTACACAGTCAGTTTCTGATTATTCAGGCAATACAGATACAAAACTACGGCAGTTAATACCCCCTTGTACAAGCTTTTATTTAACAGAATTCATCGTCCGTGCTTTTGTTTTCGTCATGGGTCGAAACTTGCCAACGAAATTTTCACCCACATCTATATAAATTGCCAAAATCTAATTATTTCGCGCGACTACACACCCATTTGGTGCGTTCATTTGGCGCGCAAGTGTTTTTCGTTATGCAATTCGATTTTATGAAAACTAAAAAGTATATTATGTAAAGCATAATTTAAACGTTTATAATATTCTTTTATTTATCAACTAAAAGAAGACAATTTTTTTTCAATATAACGTTGCATCACTAATAATTTAATTATAAAAAAAATGTGGAAGTCGCTCATAAAATTTTAGTAAAATTATTTAAGCCATGTATTTAGTTTGATGGAACCATTTTATTTTATTTATCTAGTACTAATTATCTAGTACTAATACCAATGCTTGCTATTATAAACTGTTTTAGAAATTTAGGAATTTTTAAAATTTGCAAGCTTTTATTTTATTTATATTTAGTTTTGTTTATTGTTGAAGAAAATGTGCTTATTCACCAATATGACGATGAGTTAAGTTGCTCTTCTCCCAACTACAATCATACACACGTAATGATAAACGTCGGCTAGCAACTTTCCCGGAACAAAAATCAAATTATCATAAATGTGCAGCAGAACAAAAAAAAAAAAAAAAAAAAAAAACCGCCAACTCTATGGGAGATGTTTCAACTTAGGAGCTAGTTCCATCGTTGCTGGCTCGCCTTTGTCTTGTGTAGCAGAGATGGTTTGTGAGTCGCAGGTTCTAGTTTGGTCTAATCTTGCAGGTTCTAGTTTGGTCTAATCTTGCAGGTTCTAGTTTGGTCTAATCTTGCAGGTTCTAGTTTGGTCTAATCTTGCAGGTTCTAGTTTGGTCTAATCTTGCAGGTTCTAGTTTGGTCTAATCTTGCAGGTTCTAGTTTGGTATAATCTTGCAGGTTCTAGTTTGGTCTAATCTTGCAGGTTCTAGTTTGGTATAATCTTGCAGGTTCTAGTTTGGTCTAATCTTGCAGGTTCTAGTTTGGTCTAATCTTGCATTGTTCTAGTTTGGTCTAATCTTGCAGGTTCTAGTTTGGTCTAATCTTGCAGGTTCTAGTTTGGTCTAATCTTGTAGAAACCTTTCTGTCTAATCTTGCAGGTTCTAGTTTGGTCTAATCTTGCATTGTTCTAGTTTGGTCTAATCTTGCAGGTTCTAGTTTGGTCTAATCTTGCAGGTTCTAGTTTGGTCTAATCTTGCAGGTTCTAGTTTGGTCTAATCTTGTAAAAACCTTTCTGTCTAATCTTGCAGGATCTAGTTTGGTCTAATCTTGCAGGTTCTAGTTTGGTCTAATCTTGCAGGTTCTAGTTTGGTCTAATCTTGCAGGCTCTAGTTTGGTCTAATCTTGCAGGTTCTAGTTTGGTCTAATCTTGCATTGTTCTAGTTTGGTCTAATCTGGCAGGTTCTAGTTTGGTCTAATCTAGCAGGTTCTATTTTGGTTTGATCTGACAGGTTCTAGTTTGGTCTAATCTTATAGAAACCTTTCTGTCTAATCTTGCAGGTTCTACTTTAACCTAATGTTGCTAGTGTTAGTTTAATCTAAACTTGACGTTTGTGTTATTGCAGAATGAGTGTCCAGGTACTGAGTACTTACCTGAACGTTGTTAAATTGTCCATGCAAGATTCACTATGGAAGAGTGGGGTTTATTTAAAAAAAAAAATTGAACAAGTATGCAATGCAATTTAATATTATTATTATAATGCCACCTTAAAACAACATGTTCAAACAAGAAATATTTTTTTTGGGATGAATGTGTGTGTGTGTGTGTGTGTGTATAGAGAGAATGAGTAAATGATTTGGAAAACGAGGAAAAAGAATGGTGTTTATTTAGGAGAGAAATTGACAAGACACTGATTATGGTGAAGCACTAACAGAAGATGTTCCTTTTTCTCGATATATTTATACCGTTCTCTCATTGCGGCATACACCCAACATTCTCTGTAAAACATACAACATCAAACGTCGCTACTTTGGTGAGTTTATAACGACTGTGTTCTATCAATACATATAGAATCAAACTTCGCCCAACCTGATGGGTCTAGTACCACTATGTTCCATCCACACAGAATGAAACGTCGCCTACCTCTATGAGAGTTGTATCTCTATGGTCTATCTATTCATATAAATATTATAAAGTAACATTTCACTGCTTGGTGCTGTCTCTTCTAGGCCTGTCCGCCAACGTTGCTGCAATTTTTTTTGTTATAGTTACATTCTTTAAATGTGTGTTACCTCCTCTATGCTGGCTATTCGCACGGACATATAGAGACAGTTAAAAACTGATACTTCAGAGTGACATTCAAGCTACATGTCAATGCTGTCCTGCCCTAACATCAAACAAGTAGAGACGGGTAATCAGATAAAAACTGTGACAGTTCAAAGTGACATTCAAGCTACATGTCTAATGTTATCCCCCCCCCTTCCCCACCTCAAATCTCATCATACCTCGGATCGAATATCAAAATATAATGTGTCTTCTCACTTTCCCCCGATTTGAAAGCAAAAAGTTGCATGTGAAAGGTTTGGATATTATTTTGTCCACAATGAAATGTCACCAGTCTGGTTTCCCTAGCTGAGACGATACACCCGTGTCTTGTTTATTGATCAAGCCTGCCTTGTGCTGTTAATGTTGCACACACATTTCTTCTTGCTACCCTGCACGGGAAATCGGCGTACTCATCTACAAAGAAATGCTTTTCAAATGTCAGCTATTCTAGCGGAGAAACTTTAATTTTTCTGTATTAACCTGCACGCTAACATCTGGTAAATAACATTAGAGCTTATCACTGGCCTACAGTTACTAATTGCCATCTTCAGACGGATTTCAAATGTAATCATTACGACAATCTTTAATGGGCATCCTTCTATGAAGGGGAAAATTAACCACGTTCTTACAAGCGGTTTTTTTTTAAAAATGTACCACTTAAACATCTTAATGTTCTTAGGAGTTAAAAAAATTAGACTATTATAGCTCGACTTTTGAATGACGAGAAAACGTAAATCTGCTTGTTGTTATGTTAGAATAGCTTATTATATTAGGGGCTAGAATAGTTTCTCAAATATTTGACTAGACTTTTAAAACACTTACGTGACAATGTTAAGTCTTATTAGAAAATTCTTTTTATGTCCATTCATGTGGGTTTTTTTTTAATTAATAAAAAAAGATCTTTAAAATTCTAAAAATAGCTAGGAAACCACCCCCACACTGCACGAGCAGCACATAAAACTCTTTAATGGCATGTAAACGCCTCTTTAAAAAAAACTAGTTGCACGAGATCTGTAATAGGTTCTTGTCGGAAGCCTGGGAGTGAGTGGCAGGGGAGGGTCGTCTGACTCATCTTTAGGCCTGGCAGGTTCGGCCTCGTGCCTTGGTCTTTCAGGCTTCGTGCCTTGGTCTTTTAGACTCGTGCCTTGGTCTTTTAGACTCGTGCCTTGGTCTTTTAGACTCGTGCCTTAGTCTTTCAGGCTTTGTGCCTTGATCGCACACACATACACACACAGGCACACACATGACTTACAGGTCAACGGTAGTAGCAACGTAATTTTAATTATGTGAGCTTTGTTTTGTGTGGTCATCGATATGACCTTCTTAGTGACAATAAAGGATCGCTTTTTTGTTTTTAAAATAACCATTTTGTGTTGTGTTAACTATTACAAGTAAACCCCAAACTTCTAGTCTTGTGGCCAAACCTTTCATATAGGACCTTGCTTCTTGTGGCCAAACCTTAGATAGAGGAGCTCGTGGCCAAATCTTGGATAGAGGAGCTCGTGGCCAAATCTTGGATAGAGGAGCTCGTGGCCAAATCTTGGATAGAGGAGCTCGTGGCCAAATCTTGGATAGAGGAGCTCGTGGCCAAATCTTGGATAGAGGAGCTCGTGGCCAAATCTTGGATAGAGGAGCTCGTGGCCAAATCTTGGATAGAGGAGCTCGTGGCCAAATCTTGGATAGAGGAGCTCGTCGCCAAATCTTGGATAGAGGAGCTCGTGGCCAAATCTTGGATAGAGGAGCTCGTGGCCAAATCTTGGATAGAGGAGCTCGTGGCCAAATCTTGGATAGAGGAGCTCGTGGCCAAATCTTGGATAGAGGAGCTCG